GACATGCCATGTGCTACCATTCTTGTGATGGTTCTCAGTGCTCTGTGCCAAAGAAAGGCAGTTGGTGGGGAACCTCAGCTGTGGGGAACCAGACACCTGGAGGAAAGTGAAGAACTTCTGCTATCGGGGCAGCTGGGCTCTGAGGGACGGCCCCAGCACCACAGGCTTGGAATTGAGCTCGGGTTGGTGGTCAAGTTTAGGGGCCCTGGAAATGTCTCCTGGCTTGTCACAGTGTCTCAGTTGGTGTGTCTGTGATCATGCCTCTCCAAGGGGACATTAAGTTAGATGCTGTGTTAGCTTTGGCTCCTGGGACAAAATCACACTCACTTTAATGGTAGCCATTGGCTTTACGCAGGCGTGGAGGGCTGCAAGGTGAGGGCCTTGGTCCTGCTGGCTTCCACCAATTCCTCGCCTGGTGGAGGAGGATGCTTTGCTGTCTTCTGCAGCAGTGTCACCTGGGGCTCCTGCAGGCCTGCTTGTGTCCCCAAGGTCTCACCTGAACCCCATCACTGTTGGGGGCTTTGGTCCATAACAGCTGTGCCAGGAAAGAGGGGAACCTTGGATCTGAGATGTGCCTGACCAGTACTGGTGAGCCATGGAGGTACTTTCTGCCATGGAGGGTTGTCCTGGGCAGCTAGTAACTCCCTTCAGGAAGCAGGTGAGAGCTGGTCTGCTGGCAACCCTTGAAAGGCAAGGGAGAGGAGGAAGAGCCTCCGGAGAAGCTCAGAATTCAAGCCACTCACTCCAGCCAGCACCTAATTGAGGACTTTTAACTCAGACCCAAGACTCGTGGCCACCTCCTTCCCCGTGGGAGAAGACCTACGCACCTTCGTTTTCTGAATCGGATTTTGTAAAAGCACCATGCTTTTTAAATAATTAAGATTTGCAAATCCCCAGCCTGTATCTGCTCCCTCTTTCCCTTACTGATTCATAATTTAGTGTCTTGGTGCTTACTGGCTGCCTTTTGTGGCCCGCCTAACTTCTAAGCCCCAGGCCTGATTCTGAGCCTCTTCAGCAATTGCAAACTTGTCAATTTTCCTGAAACCACTTGGAGCAGATTAGCTTAGCTTAAAACGAGAAACATTAGGAATTGGCCCGTAAGGATAAAGAATTTGCCTAGCTTCATGTTTTATTTAATCATATTCCATACTTAAGCAAATGCATTGGCCCTAGATGGATCCAATCACTTCGTTTTTTTTCCTTCTTTTTAATAATATTGCAGAGATGACTTGCTGGCAGTTGACCAGAATAAAAATTATAGGCAGAATTAATCTGCAGGCAAGTCCTACATTCAGGGTGCAATTTATTTGATAATCTGCATTTGCCTTTCCTTCCATTGGCTAGCCGAGTCATCCAAAGGAATAAACTGGGTGCCAGCGGTGCCCACACAACTCATCCTGCCCCCAGCCTCACTCCCTGGGCTTGCTTGGCATTCAGCCAGGCTCTTGGCAGGTGAGCCATGCCCGAAGCACAGTGATGGCCACTTGTGCCTGCTGGGCACTTGGCCACGGCATATGCCTGGGTACCTGCATCATAATGGGGTACCTGGCCTGGTTCCCCAGCCCTCGGGTAGGTTTGGGTGTTTTTATCTGACCACACCTGTAAAGATTGTATCTGAAGGATTGTCCTAATAAAAATAATACCTGTGGACAGGAGGAGACCCAGGGAAGAAACTGGAGAGCTACATCCATGTGGTGCCGCTACAGGTCTGCAGAGATCAATGGACAGTCTCTTGTATCTGAGTTTTTAAGTATTAGTTTCCTGACTTTGTGTACTTTCATGTATTTTTTTTAAGATTTATTTTTATTGGAAAGTCAGATTTGCAGAGAGAAGAAGAGGCAGAGAGAAATATCTTCCATTCGCTGGTTTACTCCCCAAATGACTGCAACAGTTGGAGCTGAGCGGATCTAAAGCCAGGAGTCAGGAGCCTCTTCTAAGTTTCCCTTGAGAGTGCAGGGTCCCAAGGCATGGAGCAGCCAGGACATGAACCTGCGCCAATGTGAGATGCCAGTTCTATGGGTGGGGAGCAGCTTCCTGTGTCATCTGTAAGTAAGCAACAGCCATTATCAGAGTGCCTGGGATCTGGTCCCCGCTCTGCTTCGGATGCAGCTTCTTGCTAAATACACCTAGAAGGCATCGCCCAAGCACTTGGGTGTTTGGTGATACAGAGACATGGATGGAAATCCTTGCTTCAGCCTAGCCCAGTCCTGGCTGTTACAGCTACTTGAGGGCATGAAGTAGTGGATGGAAGCTGCTCTTCCTTGCCTCCTCTTGCCTCCTCTTCCGCTCCTTTTCACCCTCATTTCCTTTCCTCCCCTCTGCCACTCTGCCTTTCAGGGGTAGGGAGGAAGATAAAACAGCCTCCAAGGCAGTGAGTATAGAGCTTGCACTCTGCCGGCCTCCCTGAATACTGTCACCCCCTACTGTCACACCCTATGCACTGAAGGAAACAGAGTGTCTAGTGGTGAAGTGACAGCTAGAAGCAGGTGCAGTTTCTGAAGTCTTTGCAGAATCCACAGCCTCTGGTGGAGAAGACAGGCTGGGCAGGGTGGAGTCCTGGCGCCCCCTTGGATTTGTCATCGCCTGGCTCACGGGCCATCAGCTGTAGCCCCGAGTCCTGCCAACAGGTTCCACACACAACAGAATGACCAGTCCTGGGGCATTTGTGGGAAGGAAGCCTCCTGACTTTGTTCAGTGGGAAATCTTTATTTTTTAATTAAAAAAAAATTTTTATTATATTTTGACAATATTTACATAGTTAATTAGGGTAAAAAGGTTCAAGGGCTACAGGAAAGTGGGTAAGATTATTATTTTTTCCATATTGTTTCCTTCATGTTTGAAGTGGGGTATTAAGGGAGAAGGCCCACCCAATTTCCCACCCTCCCCAGGTCTCAGATGTAGGACATGCTCTGAGGTTCTTGCTCAAGTGGTTTTTCAGTTATGAATCGCTGTCAGTCTTGCCACTCCAAGCACGATGAGATCTTTGATGAATCCACTGGTTGGCATAGTCCATCATAGAGTCTCCGTTTGCCCCGTATTTCGCTGCCAACATATAGCTGAGATGGTTGGTTTACCTGTTCTGTCTTCTCTCTTTTCTTGGATAGGGTTCTAAGTCCAGCATTTTGATTGGGGAGATCTCCAAAAAAACTTTGTCTGAGGTGTTCTCAAACCAGATTCTTGTATGTGCTAACAAGTTCAGGGCCTGGCACAGTCCATCGCCCCAATTAGCTGGTTGTTGCAATTGCTGGGTTGGTTCTGTTTTCAGTCCCGACTTCCACTGGAACCAATGGGTGTTGCAGTCCAGCCTGGTTCTGCCTCAGTGGGAAATCTTATGTGAGAAAGATGTCTCAACGCAGTCTAAAAATCTGAAGTCATTGTGACCAATTTTCTCTCTATATATGTATATATGAGGATGCTTTAAAATGTTTATGGGAACATGACATTAAAAAATAAGCCTGCTTTGGTGCAAAACATTTTGAAGTGTATTTTTTTTTTAATGTAAAGTCAGATCTGCAGAGAAAAGGCGAGACAGAGAGAAAGGTCTTCCATCTGCTGGTTCACTCCCAAAGTAGTCACAATGGCCAGAGCTGAGGCGGTCTGAAGCCAGGAGCCAGGAACTTCTCCCACACAGATGCAGGGTCCCAAGACATTGGGCCATACTCCACTGCTTTTCCAGGTCACAAGCAGGGAGCTGGATGGGAAGTGGAGCAGCCAGGATATAAACCAGAGCCCATATGGGATCCTGGCATGTGCTAGGCAAGGATTTAGCCGCTAGGCTCCACACCGGGCCCCATGTGTTTTTTTGTTTGTTTTAATATAATATGCACCTCCTGTGAGCCTTTTAACGTATCCTCTTGGGCCTGGCATGGTTTCCAGAGCTGCTCGCTGGCTGAATGCTGGCAGGGGGGCTCCGCTTCACCCCTGCTTTCTTTCCTCAGGATGAGCTTAGTCACTTGGTTTTGGGAAGGTCCATAATGATGCCCTACCTGTTTACTCCACTGTCTTAGGTGTTGTAAGTGAACTCGGGCTGTTCCACAGTGCACATGAGGTACTATGTAAATACCACACATTTTACTTAAGGGATTTGTGCATCTGTGCATTTTGGAATCCAGGGGAGAGGGAGTTGTGGAAGTAAGGTCTCGGGGATACAGGCCACCTGTATCCCATTCAGCCCATTGAAGGATACAGCCAACATCATTTCATATGGAAGTAAATTAAGAGCTCTATAAAACCTTTGGGATGCACAGCTTAGAGTGTATTTTTTTAGAATTAATAAACAAGGGCCATCCTTTTTCAGTTTTTTTCTTCCTTTCTTCTTCTTCTTCTTTTTTTTTTTTTTGTTTGTTTGTTTAAGATTCATTGATTTGATTTCGAAGGCAGAATAAGAGAGAGAGATCTTCCATCTACTGATTCACTCCCCAGATGGGCTCCAGGGTTGGGGGCTGGACAAGGCTGAAACAGGAGCCAGGAACTTCATCTGAATCTCGCTTGTAGGTTGCAGGGGTCCAAACAGCTGAGCCATTTCCCACTGCTTTCTCAGCACTAGCAGAGAGCTGGATTGAAATGGAGCAGCCAGGACTTGAAGACATGCCCATATGCAGGCAGTGACTTAGCCCACTGTGCTACAACAGTGACTGCATTTTGATCTGGTTCCTTAGGAAGCATGAATTTTGATCCTAGCCCAAAGTAGACATTCACAGGAAAGTTAGCTGGATTTGGCGATGAGTGCCTTGTGTTCTGATCTGGAACTTGCAGCTTTTTCCCTGGCTTTCTTGCATTTCCCCACTTTTACATATGATCAAAGTCACCTTCTCCCCCCCCCCCTTTTTTTTTTAAACTGAGCTGTTGAGTCCACCATTCTAAAATGGGATTCTGAGGAGTGAAAGCCCGTTGGGGTTCACAGGGCTGGACTCCACTGTGGACTCTGACAAACAGCCCGGCCGGTGCTGCTGTGTTTGGTAACCCCCCCAGTAACCCAGCGTCCCTTGCATCTATTTCAGAGCTCCCTGAAAAGAAGAGGCAGCCGAGAAATGTACAAAGAGAAGAAGACCCTGAACCAGGTAAGAAAAGGGTTTCAAACTAATGCTGCGTCTCCTTAGGAGGAGTGCACCTCACTTTGAGTTTCTGCTGAAAGTCTTGCCCATCGAACCTTCGGAAAGGCATTGGCTGGCAGCACATTGGCCCTTGAGCTCATTCAATGCCTCCTTGGGGTGAACAGATTCTTCTTGAACCCACCTCTTGCTGTGTGTTTGCCATCACCAGGAGGGGTCCAGGACCGGCAGCGCTCAGCACCGGGGCCAAGTGTAGCGATCTTCCTATAGCTGCCACTCTTCACAAACCATTGCTTTCAGTGTTGCTGTTTTAAGTTTGCAAGCTGAACTGAATCTTAAATCATTCTAAGTGAAAGTCACGTGTTCTAGCCCAAGATGGGCAGAGCTGAGTCCTTTGTGTGTCCCCAGCACTCTTCAGGACTTCCCTGCCTCTTCTGATAAGTTCAGCTGGATCCCTTGCTTCTTTCTCCAGTTGATGTTGGGAGTTTCTGCAGCAGAGAACAGAGGGGATATGGGGTGTGAATCCCCTAAACCCAACAGCAGGCAGCCCTCAGAGGAATGCAGGGGTATAGGGCATCGCAGCCTGGGGCCTCACCACCGCCTTTCCTGTCACTCCCCTCCTTACGATGCCTCAAGTGTCTCAGTCTTTCAGATAATGGGGCCATTCAAGGTAGACCAGGTCCCCTTACTCATCTACTCCCCGAGGACCCCTAGCATTCACTCTGGAGTCCCCACAACACAGGGAAACCTGAGTAGGTCATGCCATCACCACGGGGTGCTGTTTCCGGCTCACCGGCTCCTGGTTAGCAGAGATGCATTCCATGGAAGAAGGACAGCCGCCCCAGTATGACACACAGATGCACCTGTTTGTGGACAGGGCCCGGGGCTGCTGGGCTGTGGCTTGGGCGAGCGCCGGGGAATGTGTTTCGTCGGCCCACTCGGGCTGTGGGATGATTGAGAAAGGAGTTTCTATTCAGCAGAGTGGCGGACTGGAGCGCCCTGGGAACTTCAGGTCGGCCACCAAAGCCCAAAGGAAGCTGGCGCCCCGGCGCAAGGTAGGCATGCCGGCAGTTGGCCCGCGCGGGGGCTGGCTGGACAGCGACCTTGCAAGGCAAAGAATATATTCGGCTCGTGATATATTTCTGTTGCTTGGCAAGGCCTTCCTGGCTGGTGGTGATGGTGGTGGCCCCGTGTGTTTCTTCCTCCATTATATGCTTGCCCTCTCTGCCCACCACAGGCATTGTGCAGAGTCGGGCTGGACCCTGTGCTTCCATACTGCCCTGCCCCCGGGAGCCTGCGCTGAGCTCTGGATTTGGCCTTGGCTCCGCCCCCTGTAGTCTTGGCAGGGTGTTAGAAAGGCTACAGCTGTAAGATGGGCATCCAGCCACACTCTGGGGGGGCCAAAGGCCTGCTTCCCCGTCTGATCCCCGAGGGGCTTCCCCTGAACTCGGCGCCCTCTTGCACTTGGCGAAGCCCGGTGGTCACAGGGCCTTGCTCCAGGCTCCTGTGGCCTGCAGGGCTGTCCTCAATTCAGAAGCTGCTTGGTCTTGGTGGCAGGCCTGGCAGTACATGCATGGGTGTGGTGTGGCAGTGGTAGCATGCTTTGTGCCGCAGTAGAGCTCCTGGTGTGGTTTGTGTGGTTTCTTTCTTCAAGGATCAAGAAGACTTGGGGGACCGTTGTATCAAGCCTCAGGTAACTGGCAAAGCCGGCCCCTCTTAGGGTCACAGAATGAGGCTCTTTGCACTGAGCCCGGTTTAGGGCAAGCAGGTGGTGGAGGATTGTCCTGGCTGTGGTCAGCCTTTGGGGGCAGAGGGGACATGGTTTGAGATTCACGGAAATTGTGTGTTCTAAGGAATTTTGTCAGCATGAAGGGGTGCATATAGGCATGTAGAGCTGCTAGAATGTTCATCTTCTCAGAGATGCTTGCACCCCAGTTTCTGGTTCCCCTTGGGAGAGAAGCCCCAGCCCCCCTAGAAGATAGACACCCTGTGAGTCTCTGATCCTCACTCTTGATTTGAGCTAGAAGCATCCTGCCCTGTGCAGGCCTGTGCCCAACCCTGCCTCCCTAGCGTTGCCTCCAGTGCTTCAAGGCTTTTCCAGTTACAGAGCCCATGACAGTCAGGTTAGGATATAAATCCCAACAGGTGGTCCTGCCCATCCCTTGGCCTGGCAGAGGTGCTGTGGTGGGGGGATGGGATCGCTGGGGTAACTGTGCAGTGGACAGACACCAGCTGGCTAGTGCATCCTCTGTCTTCCCTCATCCCAGTCTCCCAGACGAATTCCTGTGCACAGAATGTCAAGTCTGCCTCCAATGATGGGTCTCTTAGCTTCTCTGAAACTTCACTCCTTCAAGTGAACTACCAAGACCTAGCTGTGGATTAGGGTTTCTTTTTTTTTAAGATTTACTTTTTTATTATTTTTTTATTGGAAAGGCGGCTATTCAGAGAGGAGAGACAGAGAGGAAGGTCTTCCGTCCGATGATTACTCCCCAAGTGAGCGCAACGGCCGATGCTATGCCGGTCCGAAGCCAGGAGCCTCTTCCGGGTCTCCCACGCGGGTGCAGGGTCCCAAAGCTTTGGGCCGTCCTCAACTGCTCTCCTGGGCCACAGGCAGGGAGCTGGATGGAAGGGAAACGGGGCTTCCGGGATAGAACCAGCGCCCATATGGGATCCCGGGCGTGCAAGGCAAGGACTTTAACCACTTGCACCACCGCGCCGGGCCCAGGATTAGGGTTTCTTAAACATTTTCATTTAACCAAAATTGAAGAGGTGATTTTGACTGTTGGAAAGTTCTCAGAAACAGGTTGTTTAAAAGGAGCATGCCGGAGGGGAGGCGGGGAGCTTTAGCTTAGCAGGTTAAGATCTGCAGAGCCTGAGGTAGGGTTTGAGGAAGGGGAGAGGCCCCATGAGAAAAGACAAGACAGAAGGTGTTGAAATCAGGCAGGCCAGAGGGCTCCTCTGAGAGAGGAACAACTCCACACTTGTCACTGTGGCTCTGCTTTTACTAGTATCAGTTTCATGCACTGATGGGTCCTTTGTTTGTGGGCTCATCACTGTCCCAGCCTGGAGGGTCCTAAGTGGATTTTGGCATGCCCAGAGGGAGGAGGAGAGCGGAGCCGGTGGTCAGTTACTTTAGGCATGTATGCTGCCTGAGGTTCTGCCCTTGCCAGCCTCGCAGTATCACTCTTAAAGCTTTAGTTCTCAGACACCTGGCAGGGGTCTGTCTTTCCCTAATGGCCTCTGGACTCATTATTTCAGGAGTAACACCTGCCTCCCGTAGCATCGGCTTGTGGCAGGCTGCTACCTTGCTTGCAGAGTTCCTGCCAGTACCAAGTTCAGTCATGCACTTGGCTCCTGTGCCCAGCTTCCAGCTGGCCTGCACCTGGGAGGCAGTGCTGATGGCTCAAGGGATGACATGCTGGCACTCGGTTGGGAGAGCTCCGATGAGTTCCCGGCTCCCAGCCCCGGCCTTGGCCACAGACAGGCATCTGGGGAATGAAACCAGCAGATGGTGATGCTCTCTTTCTCTCTCTCTGTATCCCTTAAATAAATAAATAAAAATGAAAGCACAAAATAAAAGTAGAAGCAGTTTGGCCTTTTCTAATAGATATTTAATATTTAATAAATATTTACTGAATGAACTAAAAAAAAAAACATGCCTTTCCTTCAGTATTGGGATTAAACCAGTGCCCATCTTCCCCAGTGCATGGCTTTTATATAGTTCTCTCTCTTTTTTTTTTTTTGGTTGCAAAAAGGCGTCATTCCTCCTGTGACCAGTTGACCCATTGTGTTGGGTGGTTGTGAGTGGGGCAGATAGCAGTCAGTCTCAGAAATCTGCTTCAGCGAAAACCAAGCCAAATCGTTAATGTGATTAGTTCTCAGAACTCACGCCACGTGGCATTTGCATACTAACTCTCCTAATGTGTAAAGGAAGGGGAAAAGCACAGTTTTTGCCACATTAATTGCATTTTGCACATAGAAGACATTGGGTTTAGCAATGTACTATTTACAAACCACCTTGCTGTACAGTATCGCGTTTGACCTTCACAGTGACCTTGTGGTTGATGCTGTAGACCTAAGGAGCCAGGTTCTCTTGTGCCTTGTACAAGTCTGGCAGAGAACCCCAGGCACGCTTGTCTAACCCCAAGTTCAGTAGGACTGGCTGTGTCTCCACACAGAGGGTGGTGCTGGGAGCCCCACAGCTCAGAGAGTGCTGGGGTGTGTTTCCCGGGTGAGAATGGGCAGGCTCTGAGATGGTGGATTTCTCCCAAGTGTTCCAGGTCTTAGCTAATTCCTGACTTTCTGTGAATCTGCGCTGAGGGAAAGGTCCAGGTAAGGGGGAAGGAGGGAAGTTGGGAAGCATGGAGGGAGATTTTCCTGTTACCTTCTGCCAAGCAGTGTGTTGCTGTAAGATTGTAGCAAGGAGTGAGCCATGCACATTTTCCTATGGTGAAAGCTGGAACACTCATGAGGGCTGATCTGCATCAGGGAGTGGCCAGACATCTGTGTAGGGCTTGTTGAGAAACCTTCCTGCCCTGGGGCTCCCCACACAGAGCTGCAGAGTTGGAGGATGGAGGGAAGAGGAGCCATGGTTGACATCCTGGTTCCCCAAGTCAACCTTTCTGGACCTGATAGCCTACCAGAGGGCAAATACCCGTGCAACTGGTCATCTTGCCTTTTGCTGAGTGTAAACTGTCTGTACCAATCCAAAGGCATTACTTGTCACTCGTGGGAACCCACGTGGGCACGGCAGAGCTGACTTTGCAATTGGTCCCTGGAGTACCTGCTTGACCTTGGCGGGGCAGCATGGCTGTTAGCCTCAGCGCCTGGTGTGGGGACCCTCCCGTGTCCTCCAGCAGCTCGCTCCTTGCCCAGGGGCTCTGTTCTCTGCCCTGTGACTATAGCTGAAGAGAAAGGAGCACCCTCAGGTTCTTGTCTGCAGTGGCCCTGCCTGCGAGAGGTTGGGAGCCCAGGGTCAAGGTCGGTACTTGGTCCTCACCCGGCCATCCTGTTCTCTCTGGACACTGTTGGAAGGGGAAGGCGGGTTCATCGGCAAAGCAGTAGAAAGCCAGCACTTGGTGGGTTGCTGGCCATGGAGAATGGGGACTCCACTCTGGGCACAGCAGTGAGGGGCCCCAGGCAGAGCCTGGCTGGCTGCAACGGGTCGTGGTGTGAGGGTTCTGGTGTTACCAGATGCTGGCGAGAAACCAGATCCTGTCCACAGTCATGTGAGGTTACTACATCACCCGTGGGTACCAGGCTTCATTTTCTCTCCCTTGTGAAGATTTCTGTGTGTATGCTTTTTCACCAGAACCAATTCTTCCGTTTCTTACTGCAGGCCTTTCCTGGGTCCCTTCCAGGGATCCTCTCCAGCACATCCCTGCTTGGTGGAAGCCGCTTTTTCCATGTAGTTCTCAGCTTGGCTGGGAGGCCTGTGAGTGTGTGTGTGTGAGTGTGAGTGTGCGTGCGCACACACTGGGCAAGGTTCGAGGGAAGTCAGTAGCGGCAGGAGTATGTGGTCTTCCCAGTAATTTCCTCCCGGGCTGTTCTCTCCCGGCAGGATGACAGTGCTGATCTGAAATGCCAGCTCCAGTTTGCCAAAGAAGAAGCCTCCCTGATGCGCAAAAAGATGGCCAAGCTAGGGCGGGAGAAGGACGAAGTGGAACAGGAGCTACAGAAGTACAAGGCCGTGTATGGTGATGTGGACAGCCCCCTCCCCACGGGAGAAGCCGGCGGGCCCCCCAGCACCAGGGAGGCCGAGTTGAAGCTGCGGCTCAAGTTGGTGGAGGAAGAAGCCAACATCTTGGGCCGGAAGATCGTGGAGCTGGAGGTGGAGAACCGAGGCCTCAAGGCAGAGATGGAGGACCTGCGGCTGCAGCAGGAGCGCGAGGGAGCAGGCCGGGAGCACGTGCCGAGCATTCCCACGTCGCCCTTCGGTGAGTCCTTGGAGTCCTCCACGGAGCTGCGCAGGCACCTGCAGTTTGTGGAGGAGGAGGCGGAGCTGCTGCGGAGGTCCATCTCGGAGATCGAGGACCACAACCGGCAGCTGACCCACGAGCTGAGCAAGTTCAAGTTTGAACCTCCCCGGGAGCCAGGATGGCTTGGGGATGGGGCCTCCCTGCAGGAGGAGCTGAAGTCTGCCAGGCTGCAGATCAACGAGCTGAGCGGAAAGGTGCTGAAGCTGCAGTATGAGAATCGCGTGCTGCTCTCCAACGTCCAGCGCTGCGACCTGGCCGCCCACCTGGGGCTGCGCGCCCCCAGCCCTCGCGACAGCGACGCCGAGAGCGACACCGGCGGCAAGAAGGAGGGCGACGATGGAGACGAGGCCCTCCGCCTGTTGCCACCGCCACAGCCCAGGCGGGAGGGCCCCGTGGGTGGAGAGAGCGACTCGGAGGAGACCTTCGAAAAGACTTCAGGTTTTGGGAGTGGGAAGCCCTCGGAGGTGAGCGAGCTGTGCCCGGCCGAGCTCCTGAGGGCCCGCGAGGACTCGGAGTGCCTGGCGACCGTCAGGCAGGAAGCGCAGAAGCTGGAACGGACTGTGGAGCGCCTCATTGCGGACACTGAAGGCTTCCTGCATGAGGCGGGGCTGCAGGCTGGTGGAGGTGCTGGTGATGGTGGTGTTGGTGGCCGTGACACCCTGGCCTCCTTCCTGGGGCCTGGGGTCCCGGATGAGGGGGAGGAGGGCCCAAAGGAGCCCCGTCTGCTGGGTGCCATCAGTGCCAAGATGAAGGCTTTTAGGAAAGAGCTGCAGGCCTTCCTGGAGCAGGTGGCCCGGGTTGGGGATGGCCTGTCCCCCTTGCCCCACCTCACTGAGTCATCCAGCTTCCTCTCAACTGTGACCTCTGTGTCCCGGGACTCCCCCATCGGGAACCTGGGCAAGGAGCTGGGCCCGGACTTGCAGGTAAGGGGGCTTCCGGCCTCGCCGCCTCCCTGCCATGCCTTGCCCTTCCTCCTCCTCGCTGGCATTGCTGCACTTTTGGGGCTTGCGGTGCTCACGGCTGCTTGGTTGTGACAGGAAAGCTGCATTGCACTCCGTGCCTCCAGCGTCAGCCCCACCCTGCCTCTGGGTCGGGTTTCTTTTTCTAAATTTTTTTTTTGTAAGCTCCCTTTCTTGTGTGCTCGCTTCTTTCGCCTTCTTCTCCTCTTTTTTTTTTTTTTTTTTTTTTAAACTATGTCCCTGTTTGGGGTTTAGGGGCCCCGACCCCTACCCGTTCCACCACCATGAACCAAGGCCGAGCCAATGCAGGGCTCCGTGCCATCCGTCCATCCATCCTTGCTCCCCTATGTGAGGTCTCACATGACCGGCCACTCCTAGGAAGAAGCAAGGAGGAGCGTTCAAACAAGGTGCCAGCTCATGTCACAGGCAGGATAAGTGGCAGACTTGCCCCGCCCCCCGGGCATGCCAATCCCTCACTAGGGTCCTTACCAAAGGGACACGGGGCAGCTTCGAAGCACCCTAGGCAGCCAGGCCCTCCTACCCCATGCCCTGCACTGGAAGATAAGTCCCGCAGCAAGTCGCCAAGGTGGGGGCGGAGCCGAGTGGCGTCCGAGGACTGCTTTCCTATGCCTGGCCCTGGGGTGCATGATCCGACTGATGCCCTGGATTTTGGCTCTGGCTGCTCGACCCACAAGTAAGGAAGGAAGAGCCTTGTGTCACCTTCCCTTCACCAGTAGTGTTCTCGTGGTGGGCTTGGGGGTCATCCATCGCCATTGCGTGCACCTCCTAACCCGTGTGCTGCACCCCCTACCCCGCTGCCTCTCTCTGGCCTTCCTGCTGTCATGGCCCGTCTCTCTGCTCATGCCCATTTGGCTGCTGTGTGGTCCATACACGGCCACTGCTAGGTGGCTGTGAGTCTTCTGTCCATGCTTTCGTCTGCTTGGTTATCTCTGTACCCTCCTTCCCCACACCTGACCTTCCGGTCTTCTGCATTTTGTTTCAAACTAAATGAGCCACATCCCTCCCATGCACCTAACAGTCCAAACTGAGAGAGCAGCTGGAGTGGCCCTTCAGCCAGGACCACCGAGGGGACGAGCGGGAGAGCCCACGCCTGCGAACCAGCCGGGAGCTGCACCGCCGGGCTGACGGCGACGCTGGGAGCCACCGGCCCGGAGGCCAGAGCTGCTTCAGCCTAGAGGTCAGCCAGCGCCCAGACCCTCCCCCAGCCCTCCCAGCCCCTGGGCCCCTCCCTTTGCATGTGCCTGTGTGAGGTATCCTGCCTGGGACCAGGCGCTTAGCAAGCAGGACCCTAAAGGATCCCTAAGCAGGGAAAAAGGCTGAAAAGCATCCCTAAGTCTGGAGGAGACACTCTGTAGGATCTCCCTGCCTGTGTACCCATTTGTGGGCTTGGTGCACCTGTTGCAGCGGGCTGGCAAAATCAAGAAAGTCCTCTGCCTGTGTAGTCGCAGTTGCCATGGTAACCCTTGTGCCTAACGTGGCAGGTGCCTTTCTCACTCAGTCCTGGGATGCCACTTGACCCACCCAGGAATGACAGACAGGTGCTCCCCAAAGAACTGAGCCATAGACAGAGGTCCCATCCTGCCAGTCAGGCTGCTTGCAGCACTAGAGTCACACAAATTCTATCCAGGAAGAATGTCCTCACCTTACTGGAGATGAGCTGGGTTCTGTAACCCTGCGAAGCAGTGGCAGCTGGCTCAGCAGAAAGTCGGGCTGGGTGATGAGGAGGTGAAGCCGACAGCTGCGTGCAGGTGGACACTGCCCGAGCCTGCAGCTGCACATGGTGAAACCACAGGTATCCTCACTGGAGGGGCTGTGGCAGGGCTGCCGCCTCGCCCAGCCAAGACCTGGCTGGCTCAGCTTTGCAGAGGGGGAGCCTGTTGCTTGTAAATATGGAAACCACCTCCAGCAAGCCACACTGAGAACAACAGATTTTAAGAGAATACCCGTGGCAGTCCTGCTGCCCTCTTTTAGCCTGGGGAGGCCCACCTGAGCCAGGTACACAGCCCAGTGGACCCTGCCATCTACATGCCACACATGCGCTGATGCCGAGCACCCTCAGTGGCTGGTGCAGGGAGCCCCGGGCCCTCCCAGTTACAGTGCCCACAGCCAGCATTCGCCATTTCCCCAATGTCTGTGGACATTGGATCAGACAGGTGTTACAGTATCGGCTCAACCTCAGTGCAGTTCCATCACTTTCAGAAAGATGTGGATGTTTCCCTAGATTCATACCAAAAGTTAAGCTGCTCAACTAGGTATTTGGGCACTCCCTATTCTCTCCGTGAATTCAGTTCGTATGATGTCAGACTCACTCTGATGAGAATTCTGGCTACTTGGGCAGCCGCAGCCCCATGGTGACTGCCCCTTCAAACAGCTGGACTGAGCGCTCCCCACAGTGGAAGCCTCGGGAGGATACGTTTCCCAACCTCAGGTTGCACTGCACCATGAAGCTGTTTCTAGCAGGGCCATGCCATCACATTGGAAGCCATCTTGGCATCAGCTTCCAGCCAGGGCTCTTACCCAGCTGCGTCCATTCCTAGCCCAATTTCTCAAGCAGGTCAGCTGGCCTTTGTTTACTCATCTGTAAAGGAAGTAACAAATAATACCTGCCAGTTTCATGCAGTTGTATCCAGATGATTCTGAATATAAATGAGCCATCGTACAAGCAAAGTAGGGAGCGGTCAGCTTCCTCATCGTGATGCTGGCGTTCCTGTGTGCTGTAGCCGTTTCTTGCTTTCTCAGTGCTGGCCCAGAACCACAGCTCTGGCTGCACACGGCAGCCTCTGCTCTCCCACGAGGTGCTCAGCATTCAGGGTGGGTGACATGAAGCCTTGCCTGGTGCTGCATGCCCCCTGGACTCTCCCTAAGTTCTCACTGAAGTCTGAGGCCGTGATCTGGGTTCCCGAATGCATTGCACAGCTTCTGAAACCAGACAGAAGCATACTTGGCTGAACCAAGCTGAGTATTAGGAGACGCCAAACCCCTGTAAGAGGGGTTTAGCATTTAGTTGGTGCTGTGCGGCAACCTAGGGCCACCAAACAGCATGACTCGGCTAGGAAGGACAGACATCCCAGCGGTGACAAGGTGAAAAGATGAAACCTGATAAGCAAGGCTGGGGCTGCAGCTACGAGGAAGCTCCTGGCACTCTGTCACCCCCCATCATGTTTTCTGAATGTAGTTCCTAGGTGGCTGCACCCTGGCATTCGTGCCTCAGCTGGAATTGCGTTCTGGAACATCTGTCCAGTTTCCATTAATTTTGTGTTTAGTGTGTGTGGTGTGTGTGCATGTGTGTGTGTTTAAGATTCAGTTTTGGCCACAACAGCAGGAGCTGGGCCAGGCTAATTCCAAGAGCCAGGAGCTTCTTCTGGGTCTCCCATGTTGGTGAAGGGGACCAAGGATTTGGGGACATCCTCCACTGGTTTCCCAGATTCCTTAGCAGAGAGGAACTCCATCAGAAGTAGAGCAGGTGGAACTCCTGAAACACCTAAGGCCAGCTTAATTGGCTAAGCCACAGTCAATTTTATGTGCCGGAAAAAAGATAAAACTGTCAGCTGTGAAAGGAGAGGTGCAGAGAGCGTTGTTTCTCAGCAGGGGCACAAGCTCCCCTGGCCAGCAGAGCCGCCAGAGAGACTGCCCCTTGGAAGAGCTGCACAAGCTTCAGTCCCTAGGGGGACAACAAACACACCCATCCGGAAGGGGTCAAGTGCACAGCCAGACAATGGTGCGTGCGATTCTCTGTACTCCCTTTCAGTAACCACTCATTTGTGCTCACACCGACTGAATGTGAGTGCCTCTCTTGACACCTGCTAGCAGCATAAGGAAGAAGTAAGTTTCTACAGCAGACAACGTGTCTCCAGTTTCATTTGTGTACCTTTAGGTTTGTGGATTTTCACATCTGGGGAAAGCAAAAAGAAAACTAGTTCTTATTTTGGTAGATGAGGGTGTTTTGGCCAGTTTCAAAAAACTTACTACAATTACAAATAGCAACATTGCCAGTGATGACAACAGCAAGGAGGAGCAGGATAAGAAGGTCCGTTCTCGCAGGTGATAGCTTTGCTCAGCAGACAGCAAAGCCCTGTCGCGTAGGAGGCCTACTGCTCCGTGTCACAATATGCTAAACCTAGGGGAGGAATGGTATGACCAATCCCTACTTTCTTAAGGGACACCTCAGCTGGGCAGAACAGAAGTCAAAACCCATAAATGCCCACTAGCACATGCACACAACCACCCAAAAACTCGTCACGAAACACACCCCACCTAAGCCAACTTGGGAAGGATAGGTGTCCCTGCCTGCCACCTGTTTGTCCGCATTGCTATGAGCGAGGGGCTCGCGTGGTGCCTGGATGCTTCCCTGGCTCTCTCCCTGTGGTTCCCATTCAGCCCGCTGGCGGATTCACATTTGTTCCCAAGAGAACAGCATATGGAATATTCAGTTTGGAATGCATGAAGGACCTTAAAAATAGTTCCAAATAAGAGGTGGGAGAGCGTGGGCTCTGGTCAGATTTCACATATGAGCAAAACCACGCCTGGACCCAGAGGATTGAGTTTCTCCATCAGAAATCTCCCTAGCCCCTTCTTTCATCCTTTAATCAACCAAGCACACGACTCACTTGTCCCTTATGCCTCAGCTGTGAAATACCAGTCGCAATAGAACCCCATTGGGCTGCATGCCAAGTATTTGTACACATGTGCTGATCTCATACTGTGCTTTGCAAAGACCTGAGAACCACACTGACCAGGACAGAATTGAACTCGTTAAAAATGAAATAATGGTAATGGAGGTGGCCTTGCCGGCCATTATAGCACTAAGTGGGAGCGTTCCCCTCGTGGTTCATTGAGATCCCAGAGTTGTCATCCTGATTGTGCAAAGCAGTTTATAAGCTACCATCTTGGAATGTTCATGTAGCTCGTGTTTCTCACTGTGAAGGACACTTGGGGAGGTGGGGAGATGCGCGTGGGCACTCAGTGCTGACACGGGGGAGGGGTGGTCAAGACCAATGTCCCTGCAGCTTTGGAAACACGTGAGCATGGTGCTGGGTATACAAGATGCCTTCAGTAGACAGTTCAACATGAACCTGATGTATAGTAAGGGAGCAAAGGGTAGATTTTGGAATTAAACTTTGAGGAAATGAGTCCCAGGAAAGTATCTTCCGTCTTGTCCCGGCAACACCGGAGTGACGTCAGCATCCCAGTTTGCAGCACTCGTGCTTTGGAGTTCTTGGTGTTCCTTAGAAGAAAGGGGGCACTGAAGGGAAACCCAGCTGTGGCCACTGTGCAGGTGGCAGGCTGCAGAGAGGGCTCGGAACCCCAGGGATCAGTCCTGGCCCCAGAGGTGCCAGTCACCACCCCAGGGTCCTCTTCCAGCAACCTTCCAAAGAGGCACAAGCAAGCACTGCTGAAGTGTGAGGCTGTGCGTTCACTTCACACAGATCTTTTAAGAGGAAATAAATGAAATAGTTCATTGTAGTACAAGTTGAGTATCCTTAATCCAAAAGCCCAAAGTGTGCCGAAGTTTTAATCACTGAAAATGGTTGCCATGAATGGAAAACTTCACACCATGAAACTTATTTCCTACACAACATTATATACAACGTTCTACAAAAATTGCTTTCAGGTTACATGTGTGAGGCAAATAGGAAACAAATTTTATGTTGAGATTTGGGTGCATCCCCAAGATATCTCACTATATCTGTGGCAAATATTCCAGACACTTGTTTAAAGCGCCAACATCTGAAACACTTCTAAAGCATTTCAGATTTAAGGAATTTTCATTCTGTATAGGAAGTAAGTAAAAGGTGCATTTATGTGTAGAGGGAGAAAGTGAGATTTTCCGTCAGCGGGTTCATTTCCCAGACGACAGCATCAGCCAGGAGTAGCCCCTGTAGGCTAAGCCAAGAGCCCAGAACTGCATCTGAGCCTCTCACGTGCGTGGCAGGAGTGTAAGTACTCCAGGTTCTCTTGTATTTTCCCTGGCTACATCAGCAGGTTGCTGCATCAGAAGTAAAGCAGCCAGGACTTCAGCTAGTGTCCAAGGGGACCACCAGAATACTAGCCCCACTGAATAGATCCTTGCTTGTCCTAAATGGTATGCTTGATTAGGAAGTCCATTTTAACGATTAATAACATAAAGCTTTTAGCTACTCGATGTATTAAAGTATGGAAAAGTTGTACACTTTAAAGTGAGAGAGTAATTACACCTGAAAAGCAAACAGGCAGTAATGGCTGAGGGTGGAGGTGGAGGTGGCTGTTGGAGTTCTTTATTCACTACTGGACTCCCAGTGTCTGGACAGCATTTACCCTTGCACTAGGTGCCCAGGCAGTATTTGTGAAATGAAATATAAAATGTCCTAAATACATGCTGAATTCTCTGGGGAGGTTGAGAAATCCTCGAGGGTTGGGGTTGATATCAGAATGGAGAACTGGCCTCTTAGGTGGGAGAGTGGGGGAGATGCTTGCCACAAGAGTTGGTAATCAGAAGTCAGTGCTGTGGCTTCAAGGGAATAGCAAACGGGGCCTTGGGCCCCACACCGGCAGGGAAAGAAATTGGGGAGCACAAGACACATCTGCTTGCTGCTCCCAAAGAAACAAGAGCCAGGAGGAAGAGTTCCATGGGACCCCTTCCATAGGATGAGGATCGATCCAGGGAGGGGACTGTCACACTGATGCCTTCTGCAAGGCGTGTCCTCAACCAGGTGATTCTTAGAATTGCAGACATAGCCTCAGAGGCAAGAGTCAGATCTCGGGGACAGCAGCATTCAGTGCCACAGCAGCTGAGGGAGTTATCACATAGCACGCAGTGTCTGTCTCTATGAAGGAGGAAAGCACCATCACGAAAGACCACACAGGGTTACACGATAGCAAGATTGGACTTGTGGAAATGAGGGCTCAAATCACTGAAGTAATTCAGCATGCAGAGAAATGCCTCTTTTTCAGAGACTCCAAACACTTTGTAATGCTATGATCATCTCCAGCAACTAGCAAGTTAAGGAAGCATTTGATGTTCTCAGTTCTTGTGTGTCTCTGAAGTTGGATGAGGTGTTTTTTTCTGAAGTTTATTTTATTGGAAAAGCAGCTGAGATTTGCAGAGAAGGAGATACAGAGACACAGATCTTCCATCCACTGGTTCATCCACCAAGTGGCCGCAATGGCCAGAGCTGAGCCAACCAGGAGTTGGAAACTTCTGGATTTCCCATGTGTGTGCAGGATCCCATGGCTTTCAGCCATCCTCTACTGCTTTCCCATTCACAAGCAGGGAGCTGGCAGTTGGGAACACGAATTGGCACCGCTGGGGCATGCAAGGTGAGGATTTAGCCTCTGGGCCATTGTTCCAAACCCACTGGGTAAATTTTAACCTCTTCTAGATTTGTTTGCCAGAGTTGGCCATTCCCAGTGACCCTACTTCTCTGGCTTAAACCCCCTGTGTAGCAGCCAATGCTATCCCCTCGTAACTGCATATTCCAGTTGGGCTTTCCACTTTCACTCTGGACCATCCAACTTGCAGTGTGACTAGAGTGCAAGGGCGATCAAAACCTTAAGATTGTAGTGCCCCTGGTCCAGGTGCCAGGCCCCTGTCTTCCTTTCCTTGATAGAGAGGAAGAGAGGTGTGGTTGTCTATTAGCAGGCAGTGTGGGTACCTGTGAGCCTGGATTCCCAGCATGAGTGGGAGGGGTTACCACAGAGTCACAGCACTTCTGCAGCTGGCATGAGCTGTGTCCCTGGCTTGTGTGGGTGTCCTGCGTTGTCCCCTCTGGCGATGTTCTCATCCCAGCTGTCACCTCCATCCCCACCCCTGCTTTCACCTGAGCGGAGGAGCCACAGGGTCAGCCTGTGCTGGTGGCCGGGCCGCATCAACAGGAGACAGAGACTTTTGCAAACAGGACCCAGTCGATGAATATGGAGTGTCCTGGGACCACAGAGGTCCTTCTGGGAAATAGTTCATAAGTGAGCCACAGCAAGGAGTTAATCGCCACTGCTAATGATGGAGCAGTTGTAGCAATATACTATAATAAAAATTAAAACTTATAAGATTTGCTTCTCAGATTTTCCGTGTGGTCGCTTTATGACTGTGATGGACCACGGGTCACTGAAGCTGTGGATAAGGGTCTGTGACTGTTCTTGCATGTTGGTCTCAGGCAGGTCTTCCACATAACAGACCCAAAACTGCCCTTGTAGAGTAAGGGCTATAGCTTGAACACACATAGGAAGTTAGTCTGCCTTCTAAACCCTGCCTCTAATGAGCTGTGACCTGATTTACTTCTGGTTATTTTAGGATAACCTGTTAGTGGCTAATTTGCCCCCTTTCCCAGAGTTCTTATAAAGGAGATAAGCAGATGCAGGCAGTCCAGGCCTCAGGTCTCCCTGCCATTCCACATCTAATTAAGTTGTAATTAAATATATGGGTTTGGAACTATTGTAGCTGCGGCAGCCTCCTTCTGTTTGTCCTTGAAAGAAGCTGTAGCCTTAAGACAAAACAAATGCTCTTGATCAGAGTACCATGGTGTTTAGGATGCATGTTCTATGCAAAATTATGCACCCATGTTGTCCCATGACCAAGCTGACTGATGAAGGGACTGCCTTTTGCACCTTGCAACTTAGGGAGTCCTCAGCTGAATGCCAAGATCTGTGTTTTCTCCTGCTAATCTCACCCTGGAGATGCACAGCCCCTTTTTAAATGAGCCATTTATAGGTCAGGTTTCACATATCATTACCAAAGGAAAGTAGTTTCATTACTTGAAATATACATTGCTGAGTAATATTTAAATGGAGTCTTTGGTATTGCAGCAAAGAATTTACTGACAGCAGAATAAATAGTGGTCCCCACATACGTCTGGAACTTAACTTTGCCATAAAAGTGTGTGTAGTGAAAAGTAGGGACAATCTTCCAGGCCTGTTGAAGGGAAGGTGTCCCTACCTCCCCAGAGGACAGAAGAGCAGTTAGGCTCTGAGATGTGGAAGCACTTGGTGTCATGGAGGTTCACAACAAAGTCTGGGGGCAAGTGCTGCAGATGGAGGAACAAGAGACACCCCTAGCCTGGGCGTGCAGGGGAGGAGGGGAAGCTGAACGCTCTCCAGCTCTGTCCACCATTTCCTGCTCTTTTATTTATTAGTTATGTATTTAATTTGAAATGCAGAGGGAACTCTTCCATGTACTGATTAATTCCCCCCAGAAGGCCACTGTAACCAGGGCTGGACCAGGGCAAAACCGGGAGCCCTGAACTCCAGCTGGGTCTCCCACATGGGTATCAGGGACCCAAGTCCTTCGTCCACCTTCCATCTGCTCTCTCAGGTGCGTTAGCACAAAGCTGGATCAGAAGTGGAGCAGTCAGGGGCTGAAATAGCCTGAAGATGTGGGATGTGGTGTCGTGCATAGTGGCCACTGTTTAGAAGGACATGAGAGGTTAGTGTATCACACTGGCCGTGTGCGCCTTCCTGGCCTGTAACACATTGGGGGTCCTGCTGTCAGCCCCTGCAGCCGTAGCCCTGACTCACGGCTCCTGAAAGTTGATCTGGTACTTGAAGAAGAAAAATAGCTGCCTCAGCTTTTGGCATAGGAGAGAGGGTTAAATTAGGAGAGGACAGCTGGTCGTGATAGGGCTGGCATTCTAACCCTCCTGGCTGGGGGACATAGGGCTTTGATCCTGCATGTCGTATTAGATACCATATAGCTGGTATCTGTAGCCTTTATCTGTAAAGTAAGGTTTGATTTCTATCCTTTTGCCTAGTCAGTATTGACTGTCAGTGTTCAAAAAGCAGAACTATAGGGAAGGCATTTGGCCTCATCGCCCGTATCAGTGTACCAGGCACTCTGCTCCTGGATCCAGCTTCCTGCTAACGCACACCTTGGGAGGTAGTAATGGCTCAGGAGATTGAATTCCTGGCTCCCAGCTTCAGTTCTGCTCATGGACATTTGAGAGTGAGCCGAAATAGATGATAAGTTGCTTTCTATCTTTGCCTCTCCAATAATAAAAAAAAAAAATTAAAAACCAGAATATGCAAACACGAACTCAGTGTTGAGATAGAAGACATTTTCCCCCAGAAGATGCATTTCCCCGAGGGAGATGCCTATCTGATAGGAATGTTAAGCCTTGCCTGTGGGAAGAGCTTTCTTGTTGGCTTGCCTGCTGTGTGCAGCTGAGCACACTCAGAAAAAATTCTTCCTAGACCAAATGCTTCCATTCTCAGCTCTTTCCCTGCTGTGGCTATGGAGGCCATGGAAGTGACCGGGGAACGTTTCTACCTCTTTGCCTATGGGCTTTTGGATATTGAGCCTAGGAGTAGTAGTGGGGAAATGGAGTCTACAAAACGGCATCCAAGTCAACCACAACCATCCATCAGATACCCAAGGAACAGATTTCCTGAAAGACCTCAAAACATCTTGAGCAACCTGACAATGAAAGATGATCATAGGCCCTTCCTTTAAAATATTGCTTGTTCCTGAGCCCCAGAACCCCCTAGGTTTTTTAACAGTCAACCTCTCCAGTCCCAAAGTCCCTAAATGTGTGAGAGTTTCAGTGTTGCACACCCTCACCCTGCCTCCTCCCCGTGACACAGCAGAGACTGTCAGATTGGTCTGCGTGGCCATGGGAGTGGCTGCTCCTCACACACTCTTGTTCCATTCAAGGTGGAGGAGGAGCACCTGTATGCCTTACGGTGGAAAGAACTGGAAATGCACAGCCTGGCTCTGCAGAACAGCTTCCATGAGCGCACCTGGTGTGATGAGAAAAATCTGATGCAGCAGGAGCTGCGCTCCCTGAAGCAGAACATCTTCCTCTTCTACGTGAAGCTCAGGTGGCTGCTGAAACACTGGCGGCAAGGAAAGCAGATGGAGGAGGAAGGAATCGATTGCACTGAGGTACCACCAACTGTAGGTCCATTGGACTTGCATGTTCCATTTTTGGCATCCCTCCCTCCCACCCCCAACAGTGCCCCCCTCACTCCTCAACACAGTAAATCACCCAGCATTATTTTAAATCATTTGGTCCATTTTAATCCAAGCAATAGGAATGCCACTGTATGTGAAGCCAACGGGTCCTCCTGGACTTGGCTGAAGAACATCTTGGTCTGTGGTTGCTGTCTGTTTGTTGCTGATTGCTTCATTCATTCAAGTTCTCGCCCTGGAAAGCATCTCACTCTGTGCTGGTTTGTGAAAGCTGCTCCTAAAATGTCCCTTCCTCCTTCCACCTCCACTGCTGCCCCCAGTGGGTTTTTCAGAGTCAAGTTTTAGATGGGGCACGAGGCCACCTCTGAAATGTGTCTTCCACTTGCATCTGAGTTCGCGGATTTGGCATACCCTGGAGCAGAGCTGCGTGCTTTGTGACTGGTTGCCTTTTGCTGAAGTCAGGGTGACCCCACAGTTCCACAGGCTGCTCCTGGCCTGGTTGTCCACAGCCTGGCTATTTACCAACTGCTCCAGGGCACCATGAGTCTTTAGTCTAGTGAACAGTGTATTCAGTCTTCAGGCATCCAGTGAATACAGTGATTGTCTGACCTCACCGTGAAGAAAGTCTTCAAAAATCAGTTCAGCTTCCAAGTGCCCATGACTTGGTGAGCCAATATTCAGTGGAATGTTGATGTAGTGGCCAGGTATCCTGTTGGTCAGAGTTCTAGAGTTCCTCTGACTTGGAAAAGGTGGAAGATTTATATGATCTGGAGAGAAACCAGGATATCTTCTGACTTGTAGAACCATAGCTATGGGCAGTACTAATTCAGTGCATTTCTCATTCATATTCTAATATGTGGGTTGCCTTCTATGGTGTTTCAATGAAGGGAGTGCTAATGAGCCGAAGGGCCCAAATGAACGTGCTTTGGGACTGGATTGAGAGAGCACTTGATAAGCCTCTAAGAAGATCATTATCATCCAAGAGTTTAAGCCGGGTTGTTGGCGAAGTGGTGTAGGCAAAGCTATGATCACCTTTTGCTGTTTTCAGGGTGACCATCCAGAGACCTTCCCTGGACTCAGTGACCTTGAACTCCAAGGGGGTCACCAGGTGGATGGACCAGACCTGGATGATGACGACCGAGGCTGTGACTTTCCTGTGGGGGAGCTCCCCCTACACGCTCCAGGACAGAATGGCGAGCACGGATTGAGGCTGCAGACAGTGGATGGGGCACAGGTGCACAAACAGGTGGGTGCCAAGATGCCCATTGTCTGGCCTGAGCCACATTTGAATCCTTGTATTCCAAGTGTGGTGTTCTAGGTAGCAGAAAAACTCTGCACTTGGCTGGGCTACCTGTTGCTGTGTGTGATGTTGGAATTCTGTTGGAAATGGTTTTCTTTTCTTTTTCCTTCCTTCCTTTCTGTTTTCCTTCCTTCCTTCCTTCCTTTCTTTTTTCTTTCCTTCCTTCCTCCCTTCCTTCTTTCCTTCCTTCCTTCCTTCTTTCCTTCCCTTCCTTCCTTCTTCCTTCCTCTTTCTTTTCATCTTTCTGTCTTTCTTTAATTTATTAATTCATTTGAAAGGTTGACTTAACAGAAGGTGAGCAAGATCTTCCATCATCTGGTTCACCCCCCAAATGGCACCAATGGATAGAGCTGCAGCAGTCTGGAAACAGAAGCTTCTTCCAGGTCTCCCACATGGGTTTAGGAGTCTAAGCACTTGGGCCTTCCTCTGCTGCTTTTTTCATTCACAGGGAGCTGGATTGAAAGCAGAGCAGCTGGGACTTGAACCAGTGCCCATATGGGTTGCTGGTGCAGCAGCTGGAGACTTACTTGTTATGCCTCAGCATTGGCCCCAAGTGTGTTGTGTCTTTTTAATGTAATTCTGTTTATGTCGTTCATTTGCCTTGCCCCTATAATAAGAATCATACGAAGTGCAGACTGAGTGGTTCCCCTTTGGAGCTAGCAGTTTCACTCCAGAGAGAAAATTTTACATATTTGCTCTACAGCGTCATCTTTGGGCTTTTAAAAGTGGCCATTCTTCTAAGAGAGAGAGAAATAGTGAATCCAATGCCATGATCATGGTCAAATAAGGAGCTGAGCAGCATATTTGGGGCTACTTCAGAATATTTATGGAAAAATGAAATTGGAAGATGTCGGTACAAAAAATATTTGAACTGCATGTACATATATTTTTTTTAATGATTGATTTATTTTTATTGGACAGTCAGATATACAGAGAGGAGGAGAGACAGAGAAAGACCTTCCGTCCAATGATTCACTCCCCAAGTGACCGCAATGGCCGATGCTATGCCAATCCGAAGCCAGGATCCAGGAACTTCCTCCAGGTCTCCCACGAGGGTGCAGGGTCCCAAAGCTTTGGACCGTCCTCGACTGCTTTCCCAGGCCACAAGCAGAAAGCTGGATGGGAAGTGGAGCCAGTATTAGAACCGCTGGCCATATGGGATCCCAGCAGTGTATTCAAGGCGAGGACTTTAGCCCTTAGGCCACTGCGCCGGTCCCGAACTGCATGTATATTCTTTAACAGCACGTTTCTTCTGAGACCTTGTCGAATCTTTCTTATATACATGAATTTCATAAGTCATTATGCCAAAATAGTTCTATTTTAATCTCACTTTCTACAAACTTTTTGATGCATCCTCATGTCATATTATCTATTATAGAGAGTAAGAAGCGGCCACGTTCTTCTTTAAAATCCCGAAACATGTATGAAGCATTGCAGACTCTCTTTGGCTCACATGACACATAGATAATGCTCCAAATATAAACATATGCTGACACTTTGAAAAAACTAAGGCACATGTAAAGAAAAGTGAGATTCCAATATTATGAATTAATTCTTGATGTTGCCAAGTGCTACAGAAATAGATCCTGCTTAATGAACCAAAAGGTACTACTGATAAAACCCCCGAAGCGTTTGCTTTTTCTGCATAAAGCGTCAATTGTGGTTCAAGTGCAAAGTTGAGATTAGGAACCTGGATTTCTTGCTTCCAAACTTCTGAGCCCCTTTCCAAGCCTTTTGCTTTCTGGAGACTCCTGCAGGCCAGCCCACAGCACCCCCTCCCTGCCGTCACCCCCTCCCAAGGCCCTGAGGCCGGGAGGCCTGTATTCCCTGGCCCTGGATCCTGGGCGTGGCCACAGCCACTCCACCACAGGCATTTGGGCACTCCCTGCAGGTCAGCCCCCCACAGCTGTTGCTCCTCCGGCTCCCAGGCACCCTTAGCTCGGGGCCCAGGTTGTCCTTGGAGCTGGGGCTGAGATCCCATTGAGGGGAAGCAGTGATGTTCTGAACTCAGCTAAGAGGAGGTCCCGGTCTCCACAATTGCTTTCTCTCTGTGTATGTGGACAACAGATTGTCACACCTAGATGGTTGTCTTTCATGTGCTCCCCTCCACCCTCGGCTTCCCAAAGGAGCTGACCCTGTCAGAGGGCCCTTGCCCCGCCATCCTTAGAAGAGGAAGCGTGTCCCTAGGGCAGAGTCCATGAGGGGAGAGTTTTGGTTGTAAAGCAATGACATGGCTAGAAACTAAAATGTGACTATTTCAGTCTGATACTTTCAAATCTACTGATTTTATTTTAGAGGAGAAGTTCACCATGAATCTTCTCAAACGTTTGCAGTGGACTTCTTGGTTGGCACTTTACGACCTGCTGCATAGGGGACCACAGTCTCCAAGGAGTACCCCACAGCCACATCCAAGTTCTTTAGAAAAGGGAGAGACAAACGGTCTTCCATCTGGTTGTCTAAACAGCGGTCTTGGAGATGGTTGCCATGCAGTGGGATATGCTGCTGTCACTTAGCCGGCACCTGTTACTCCTCCTGCCTTAATGCTGTCTGTTTTGCCTCCATGTGATACTGATCGGTAGCATTTACTCTTCAAAGTGGAGAATGGCACATGCGATAGAAGCTCACAGGTTGACGAGGCCTGCTGTAGACACTCGCCATCGGGCCTGGGTTTTAAGAGCCCAGCCATCCGCAGCAGTTAAACAGAGTGCCATGTGCATTGTGCCAGCCTTCCGAGGCTGGAAAATTAACAGGCTCTACTGTAAGCAACAGCTGGTACACTGAACGGGAGTGTTCTCCATCGGAAGAGTCACATGTCCGCTAGAGGCATGAGTGCTAGCCATCCGGCCTGGACACAAGATCCAGAGCGCATGTCTCCCAGAGCCACCGTGCAGAGCCAGGCCTCCTTTCAGCCCCTCTGTGAACCTCGCAGGTGACAATCAGCATGGGAAATGAGGCCCAACGGCATTCCCAGGGAGAAACGGGCAAGGGACATTCGTCAGGCTCTCTTTGTGTTGTATTGCACATTTCTCACGGTTGAGCACAGGAGCGGTTAGCAACATTTATCACATCTAGAGAGGTTTACAAAAATGACTCATTCTGAAGCAAGCTTGGGAACAGTCTGTGAAAAGGCGTCAGCTCGGCACTGGTTGGCTCTGCAGTTGTTCCCTGTGTGCCGAATGTGTCGTGCAAAGATCTCGTGGCAGTGACCCAGTGACCCAAGCACTTGAGCTCAGCCAGCCGTGGGGAAAGGCAGAGGCTGTGCAGGCGCCACAGTGGGTTGTGCAGCTCCTACCACACGACGCTTGCCACTGAGTCAGGCAGGTGAGACCGGCAGTCCTGAGGCTGTCTGTACATTTTAGACTTATTAGTAGTCCCGAAAGCCAAGACTTTGTAACACGTGGTGATTAATGGTGCTGGAATTACAGCCCTGCAGCGTTCCAACAGCTGGTCTGCCCAGCACTGGCTTAGTTTATTATAAGAGAAGTTATTTTTTCATTTAAGGATGCAACATAATGCTCTTTTTTAAAACAACAGTGTAGATTCTTTATATCCCCATGTAAAATTGCTAGCAAGAGTTAAAGGAATTGTTTCCAGTTTGTCTTTAGGTCTTTCTTCTCTTATTACTTACTGGTCACTAAAAAGTCACCAGCCCAGGCCCTTGCTTCTTCTTCTCTGGACCTCTGTCCTTGACTCAGGGCACCTGCAGTATGAAGTGCCCCCCCAGGGGCTGGTCTAACAGCCAGCCTTCCTCCTCCGCACTGAGAGCCAATGGCTCGTGGACTTCCTACTGTCTGAGTCACCCAGGTAGACTCAAGATCTCTGGTTGTTCAGGCTGCCCATCTTTCTGCTTGGCTCAAGATGCAGATTTTCTGGAAATTTCCAGAAAGAACAGCTTTGCCTGAGAGTTGTATCTGAATCACCCACATTTTTTTTTCCCCTCTCTTTAAAATGTCTAGACTGAGAGAGAGGAAGAGTGGAGGGGAGTCATTAGAGCGATTGTACGCTGTGATTCACTCCCCAAATCAGCCTGGTCGAGGCCAGGCTGAAGCCCAGATCCAGGTACTACATCCGGGTCTCCCACATGGGTGGCAGAGACCCAGGCGCTTGCATCATCTGCTGCCTTCCCAGAGTGTTAGCAGGGAGCCGGGTCGAAAGCAGAGTCACCGGAGCTCAGATGGACACTCCATCAAGAGGTGTCCCTGTCGCGGGCAGCTGTGCCACCACGCTGGTCCCTTTGACTTTTTTCCCCAAAGAAGAAAATTCTCCTCTTGAGCCTAGATCACTTTTGTATGTCCATGTTACACATTGTACCGTGGCTTATTGTTTAGATTCTGCAGCTTGACAGCTTGTGAAAGGGACCGGTCCAGTGCTCATGACTGAAGCATTTGTTCTTCATTATGTGTTTGTGGTCGTCCTTACTCTGAAAACAGCTCATGGGTGCCATACACGTGTCCTGAGGGGCACACAGTCCTGCCCCAGTCCTGCCACTGAGTCAGCCACAGGCCAGCATGATTCTGGAAGACACCTGGCATCTCATCGCAGATATCTTTGGCCTTTTTGCTACCTTGTCTGGAAGTTACGTTTACACTGTCTGAGTAATATCTCGCGTGCGCTCCAATAGCAGTCTGATTTGTTGAAGGTCAACTTTGAACCTGTTAGATAAAGTTTGACATGGCACAGTCAAGTCCCTCGTCTCAGTTTTAGGATTATTTTAAACCTCACCCCAGAGACGTGGCTTAGAAAGGCGGAAATGCTTGCAGACTAAAGAGAAAGCAATAAGGGAGCCCTTTCATCCTGCTCCGTGGCTGGAAAACCAACCAACTGATCTTCCAAATGATTGAAAAGTTCAGTGTGTCTTTGACTGATTAATATCATTTGTGGGAGAAACAGGCAGGCGAAGTCCCATCCAGCAGTGGCTGGAACCGGGCTGCAGCTGAACCTGGGAGCTAGGAGCTCAGTCCAGATCTACATGGGTGGCAGGGACCCAAAGGCTTGCGTCATCAGCCACTGCCCCCAAGGGTGCACGTTGTCAGGAGTCGTACCCAGGCACTGTGATATGGGACATGGCATCTGCATCACCAGGCCAAGTGCCAGCTGAGGTTTTGTTTTTTAGATTTACTTTTATTTTTATTAGAGAGGCAGATTTGCATGGACAAAAAGGGACAGATAGAAAGATCTTCTGTTTGCTGCTTCACTCCTTAAGTAGCCACAATGGCCGGAGCTGAGCCAATCCGAAGGCAGGAGTTTCTTCCAGATCTCACACATGGCTGCAGGATCCCAAGGCTTAGGGCCATCCTTGTCGGCTTTCCCAGGCCACAAGCAGAGAGCTGGATGGGAAGTAGAATAGCCAGGATACAAACCAGTGCCCATATGGGATCCCAGTGCATACTCTTACGGCCGCGTAGCTGGGTCCCTTGGACAAAAGTTTCAGCAAACCGTTCAAGGTGACTTTCAGCACGATGAAGCTCACTCAGTGGAACGCAGTCTTGATTTGATTCTGGATTCGGATCATCACATTACTGAAAGCATAGCCCATCTGAACAGTGAGAAGAGCGATGTAGGCTTGCTTTTAGGATTCCCATTATTGTGATGTCCCTTAATATGGAGACAAAAGGAGTTTCACAAAAATTGTGACTTTTTAAAAGATTTAAGTGATTCTCTCTCACTACTTCTTTATTTTAAAAAATCAATCAATCATAAAAAAGGCAGGGGCAGCACGGGGCTCAACCAGCTAACCATCTACCTGATGGTACTGACATCCCACTTGGGTACCAGTTTGTGTCCTGGCTGCTACACTTTCCCATCCAGTACCTGCTTATGGCCTGGGAAAGCAGTGACGGAGGATGGCCCAGGTCCTTGGACCTCTGCACCTCCATAGGAGACCCAGAAGCAGCTCTTGGTTCCTGGCTTCGGATCAGCTCAGCTCCAACTATTGCAGTCATTTGGGATTGAACCAGTGGACAGCATATCTTTGTCCTTTTCTCTGCATATTTGCCTTTCAAATAAAATTATAAATTTTTTGAGGAAAGAGCTATGTATTTATTTGAAGAGGCACATTTATGGCTGGAGAGGAAGAGACAGTGAAAGTTATCTTGTGCTGCTTTGCTTCCCAGAGGCTGGGCTGGGCCAGGCTAGGAGCCCGGGACTCCGTAGGGATCTCCCACATGAGTACCGGGGTCCAAGGACTTGGGCCCTCTTCCACTTCCTTTCCTGGGGCACAAGAAAGAATCTGAATTGGAAGTGGAACAGCTGAGACTTGAACTGACACTCGTATGGATGCCAACATCACAGCTGGCAGTTTCACTCACTGAACTGCAATGCTAACCCCAAATTAGATGGCTTCTCTCAGGCACAATTTAAAAAGAGCGAGGGAAGATAAAAGAAAACAACGTTTAGCAGGCTAAATTGTCAGGAGTTGAGTGTTCTGCCTGGTGTGTCGGGCCACACGGGGTACTGACCTCGATTGTAGTTGAAGCTCTCACCTGTCGCAGCAGGAGCTCACAGTCCTGCAGAAAGGGGACAGAGTGGGCACTCAGTACTGATGTCAAATATAACGTTTTATAGGCGAATAATGTAGCACAGCCCGTGGCCATGAGAGACAGTGTTAGTGCTGAGTGTTGTGTGTGTGTAAAAATCATCTAGCAGAATCATGCCCATTCACGATTCAGTTGGGGTCTTCCTGCATTCTGACACAGATGTGCACTCTGGCCCCCATGCTCCCGTGACGGGAGCTGCCCAGCCCTGCTGTCGCATCATACCACCCCTAGGTGCAGTGACAACAGGTCCTGAGAGTGCTAAGTCTCTAGGCTCTTCGGCTCCCCTTTGGCCACCTTCACCCAAAAGCAATTCTGGAGCTCATTCACAATGATGAATGCTATCCTGGTGTAATGGAACATCCCATGGATTGCTCTGACCCGAGTGCGTGAAAGCATTGCGGCTTCATTCTAGGGACTCTGAGATCTGCCAGTGCCCCGAAGAGTGTGCTTTGCTTCAGAGCAGCCACGTGTGCCATCTGCAGAAGGACTGTACCATTGCGATTCTAGTCCGATTAGTATTCCTGCAGCGCGCAGGCTGAGCGCAGCACAGGCCGGGGCCGTAAGCACCCTGGCATTTGTGGAAAGCTCTCGATTCTGCATAAGATATTACATGTGTTACCACTCTCTCTGCTGCTCCAGAGATTGATCAGAATCATCACTGTTGTGCTTGGTATCATGTTGACTCAATAAGTCACGGTTTCTATGAAATCAGAGGTGAAAATACTACACAAATCTCCTGTGAAATACAAAGTTTTCAACAAATACACTCCATACCAAGATGTGTATTTCTTTTCTAAGGCTCATTTTTGTTTACTTGAAAGGTGAAGAGTGTGTGTGTGTGTGTGTGTGTGAAAGAAAGAGAGAGCAAGAGAACCTTTCATCCACCAATTCAGCTCTGGCCGGCCGCGATAGCCAGGTCTGTCATCAGGCTGGAGACAGAAGGCTGTGGCTGCATCTAGGTCTCCCACCGGGGTGGCCAGGGCTCAGGTACCTCGGCCGTCTTCTGATGGCTTGCCAGCGCCCGGAGCAGGAGCTGTATCAGAAACAGAGCAGCTGAGACTTGAACCAGCATTAAGATGGGGTGCCAGTGTCATGCGCCACAATCCTGGCTCCAAAGACGTGTATTTCTCAAAAGATTGTTACAATACCTCCTCTGTCTCAACTACACTTATTTAATCACTAATACTCTTGGTGTAGAATTTTAATAAACTGTTCTGCACCTCAACACATGTCATGAGCATTGCTTTGAATGTGGTGGTGACTTCACTTGAATTCGGGTGAGTGGGACACTCGGAGGATTTTTTTTTTAAAGGCTTTCTATCCGCTGAAGTTCTCAAATGTTAATTGAATTGTACTCTCCGTGCCTTTTGCCCTGGGGTTACTCTATTACAAATTGATGTTCAAGATGAAAGCAATCCAGGAGCAGTGAGCACGGACTGATCCGCTTCCCTCTGTGGCTGCTGGACTCAGCAGCTCGGATGCTGGCGAGCACACCTGCATGTCCCCTCAGAGCCTGGTCCAGCTCCTGCTCCCTGCTGCACGCCCTGGGAGGTGGCAGATGATGGCTCAGGCCCTTGGACCCCTGCTAGCCATGTGGACTGGAGCTCCTGGCTCCTGGATTTAGCTTGGCCTATCCTGGCTGTTACAGGCATAGGAGTGAAGCAGTGGAGAGGAGATTTCTCTCTCTTGCATACATTTTTTAAAAACACAGATTTTTGAAAACAGATTTATTTATTTATTATTGGAAAGACAGGTATACAGAGAGGAAGGTCTTCCATGCGTTGATTCACTCCTTAAGTGGCCACAGTGGCCGGAGCTGAGCCGATCCGAAGCCATGAGCTTCTGGGTCTCCCGCATGGGGGCAGGGTCCCAAGGCTTAGGACCATTCTCTACTGCTTTCTCAGGGGGCTGAATAGGAAGTGGGGCTGCCGGGACATGAATTGGTGCCCACATGAGATCCTCTGTGTGTGCAAAGCAAGGACTTTAGCCACTAGACTATCGCTCCAGGCCCCAAAATGCACATATTTTATAAGTCTACTGTATGTAACAGTATAATTTCAAAGTATGGGGAAAACTGTGGTTTTCAATCGTCTGCTCATATTGAAGAATTTCTCTTTACTTCAACTCTAAATCAAAACATATTTGCAGTATCTTTAATCCTGCAGCCCTGGCTTTTGGGCTCCTTGTGACTTGGGCCTGCCGTGGCCTGCCACAGCCCCCCACACCCACTGCCAAGATCCAGAGGCCCCTCCTGCAGGTCCCCCTCGTCTTCCTCCCCAGAGTCAGCTCCAGGAGCCTGAGCACAAGCCTCAGAACCCTGCCCTCCGCACCCCTGAAGTTCAGTCCTCCCCTCACTCCCAGTGCCCTGAATCTTTGACCTGCCCACGGCACCTGCAAAACAGCAGCAACACCACTTTCATCACCAGAGCCTCTCCTCTTCCTCCCAGGGAACGTGGGCAGGCGAGGTGGCTGAGCCCGACCTGGTGTGCCCACAGGTGGTGGAGAACCAGCAGCTGTTCGGCGCCCTCAAGGCCCTGCTGGAAGAGCTGCGTGAGGAGTTGCGGGAGGAGACGCGGGCGCGGCGGCGACTGCAGCAGCAACACGCCAGCGACAAGGCTGCCTGGGACATGGAGTGGGCCGGGCTCAAGTGCCGCCTGGAGCAGGTACCTGTACCATCCAGGGTGGGTGGGAAGGGACCAGAAGGGAGAGGAGTGGCTGCTTAAAGGGCCATGGCAAGCCTCCTTTTCCCGCTGAGGTCTGAGGGTTGAGCTCAGGGAATGTGGAAAAGAGGTTATTTGTGTTCCCGAACTTGCCACTGGAATCGAGTGTGATGGCCAGTCCTAAGTGTGGGCAGCAGGTCCTGGAGGCTTGTTCCTTTCACACTGCTGTGGCTGTGGGTATTCCACAATTAACAGTGGGAGTGAGACCTCCAGCAGGCTGCCAGAGAGCAGGTTGGATTGAGGTATGTGGCTTAATAGGTCCTGGGACATAGAGGGCAAGATTAAGGACATGCACACCTGAGTGTGAACCGGGAGGCAGTGTGGCAGCGAGGGCTTGGGGTGGAGTCTCCACACCTGTGCAGAGTGAAGAGCTGTCCGAAGAACGAGCTCACATTCTGGAATGCATGGAAATTCAGGAGCAGGTAAAGGGAGAGGCAACTCTCCTAGCCACAGGGAGAGGCACCAAGAATTCCAAGTGGCGTTCAACGGGTGCTTCTGAGAGTTCAACATCAAATCAGGGACCAAGACTTTGTTGACTTTGGCAATTAGGAAGTCACAGCAGGAGGTGGGAGGAGGCAGTTGAGAAGAACCTGATACACATGGAGTGATAACAGTGAGTTTGCGAGGAAAAAGTGAGAGGGCGGATACTGAAAGGGTCGCAAGAGATGGGGTGTCTTGTTTCTGGAAGTCATAAATGAGATGTGACAGCGTGGGAGCGTCAGTGACAAAGGATCCCTGAATGGCAGCAGGATTGGACCCTAAGGGAGGAGGAGAAGTGAGAGACACGTGGACCTTGTCTACGGCCATACCACCCTGAACGCGCCCGATCTCGTCTGATCTCGGAAGCTAAGCAGGGTCGGGCCTGGTTAGTACTTGGATGGGAGAGATGCATGGACCATGAGAGCTGCAGACGCCCAGGAGAGTGTGGGAGGGAGGGAGAGAGGGAGTTTTGCCTTCCCTGACAGCAGGCTAATGGGTCAACTGCTGCCAGGGCAGGGGAGGAGCTTCTCACAGAGACCCGAGGGAGGCATGTGCAAGGGACACATCTGTGTGCTGTGCCCTTCACTGCAGTGCCGTGGGTCTCCAGGAGCGGCCTTGAACTGCAGTACTTGGCGCTGTCCACTCCTGTTTTGCTTCTGCATTATCTTCCCACTTGGAAATGATGTTTGGTCTTTTTCTAAATACAGATCTTAGAGCTGACTGAGTCATCTCCTGCCCTGTGTCCAGTGCCCCCCGCCCCGGGCCCCGCCTTCCGCTCTGCTTCCTCTCTCACAAGCCCAGCATTCTGTTCAGAGTCTGTAGACTTCTCTCACTTAGGGAGGGGTTTGCCGTCACTCTAGAGGAGAGGCTCAATATTAGTTCTGGCCCCATGGGTGCCTTGTAGGGAAGGACGCTTAGCAACCTCATACAAACAGATGGGCCTTCGGAATAGTAATGGGCTGCTTTGTAATCGTTGAGCAACTGGTTTAAAAATAGTGAAAAGTATGTGCTTAGATGTGGATGCTCAACTGTGAAGGATTTTAGTGGGTTTTTGAATAGCTTGCTTGAAATTAATTGAACTCTAGATAGGAATAATGAAGTTAATACACCTGGTAGGGTCCTTATGGGTGACATTCATTCATAGTTAATGGTAATTAAAAAAAAAATCTGTTTTTTATTCCCAGTTCTGTTATTAACTGACCATGTTCTCGGGTCACTCCCTTAAGCACTCTAGGCTGCCATTTCTTTATGAATGAGTTGGAATTTAAAAAGTCTAGTCCTTAAAAGATGGTTTAGAAAAGAAATGGGATAATTTGATAAGAGCAAGATTTGTTGAACTTCCTCACTTAGATTCTATCAGGATAAAAGCAAGGTACAAAATAGTGAGCTCTTTCTGTAATTTTAGTGGTTGTCCTGGAGTTCACAAAATACATAATTATTCAGAGTCTACATGGAAATTATATTAAACCACTCCTCGTGCTGTACAGTCATAGAATACATTCAGTCGCGTCTCCCCATCCGGACCGATGGCTTGCTCCTTGCCTCTGCCTCTGTGAGTGTACCATATACTGCAGCCGTTTTTCCTTTCAACAGTCAGTGATATTTAGAAGCAGTTAAAAGTAAGAACAGGGCCCGGCGCGGTGGCGCGAGTGGTTAAAGGTCCTCGCCTTGCACGCCCGGGATCCCATATGGGCGCCGGTTCTAATCCCGGCAGCCCCGCTTCCCTTCCAGCTCCCTGCCTGTGGCCTGGGAAAGCAGTCGAGGACGGCCCAAAGCTCTGGGACCCTGCACCCGCGTGGGAGACCCAGAAGAGGCTCCTGGCTTCGGATCGGCATAGTATCGACCCGTAGCGCTCACTTGGGGAGTGAATCATCGGACGGAAGATCTTCCTCTCTGTCTCTCCTCTCTGTATATCCGCCTTTCCAATAAAAAAATAATAAAAATAAATCTTTAAAAAAAAAAGTAAGAACAAGTTAGTTTTGTATTGCCATCTATTCAATTTCCGTTGCTCAGTTTTCTGGGTTGGATTGAAGAATCTGATGTTATCCAATTCCTTGTAACTCAAGAACTACCTTTGATATCTGTTCCTTTGTCATTTTTTTGTGGCTCTGCTGGCAACAATTTTTCTTCTCTTTTTGTTGCAAAATATTTGACTTTTGAAAGATACCGTGGCTGGCTATAGAATTCTCTGTAGTTTGGTACCTTTTTTTTTTTCAGCACTCCATTATCTTTTTTTTTTTTTTTTTTTTAATAATCTTAGTTTATTAGGGTACAAAGGGTCACGGGCTACAGGGTGAAAGTGGGTAATATCATTGTTTCCACACTAATATAATCATTTTGCCCTGTATGTAGGGTTAGGGGAGTAACAAAGGGGAAAGCCCCACCCTACCTCCCACCCATCCCCCATCCCCAACATGAGGCGCGCTCCAAGGGTCCTGCTCATACAGTTTTGATAGTTCATCAGTTCCGGATTGCTGCCAATCTCTCCATCCCAACCGTAATGAAACCTATTCAGAGTCCACTGGCTGACAGTCTCTTGATGGTTGGGGTTCCAAGATCAGCAGTTCAGTTGGAGAAATATCCAAAGAAACTTCATCTGAGTTGATCCCAGATCTGATTCTTGAGTGAGTTTGCTAGTACAGACTCCAACACTGTTCGTCACACCAATCAGCTTATGCATATGCTGGTCGTTGCGATTACTGGGTCCGTTCGGCTTCCAGCCCTGTCTTCCTTGTGAACCAATGGGTGTTGTACTCCATTATCTTTTGATTGACATACTTTCAGATGATAACCCTTCCAGAATTCTCCATTTGTGCCTGTCTAATATGTTGTTTCTCCTCTGCCTCAAGATTTTCTCTCTCTCTCTTTTTTTCTGTTTGTTTTGCCAGAAAAGATGAAAGTTTTTGTTTTTCACCTCCTGGGTATTTGCCAAACATTTATTTATTTATTACAATTTATTTATTTCTATTGGAAAGTGAGATTTACAGAGAGGAGATATAGAGAGAAAGATCTTCCATCTGCTGGTTCACCCCCCAGGTGACCGGAGCTGAGCTGATCTGAAGCCAGGAGCCAGGTGCTTCTTCCAGGTCTCCCATGTAGATGCAGGGTCCCAAGGTTTTGGGCTGTCCTTGACTGCTTTCTCAGGCCACAGGCAGGGAGCCAGAAGGGAATAAGAGCAGCCGGGATACAAACCAGTGCCCAGATGGGATTCTGGTGCATGCAAAGTGAGGCCTTTAGCCACTAGGCTACCGTGCTGGGCCCATCAAATATTCATTGAAACTACTAGATTTCATTGCTAAGTTCCATGTAGAGGCTAAGTGTGTAGGATCAGACATGGATGATGCCTGTCTTTAAGGATGTACAGAGAGTCCAGACAAGACCAGGAAGTTGGAACTGAGAAGTTAGCTGTGAGAAGTTAGGTAGATTTGCAATTTAACTTTCTCTGTGGCTCTGTCCGTCAAATGTCCCATATTCTTACTTTAGAAATGGAACTCGATTTTCCATGCTCATTTCAAGCCTGTTCGCAGGGATCACGTGTGAAGGACCTGAGAGCTCCTTCATCCTCTACTGGGTGGCATTCCCGATTTCATTTCTCTTTGACAGTTGGAAGAGAAGACGGAGAAGAACTTGGGAGAGCCAGGCTCCTCCGTGGAGAACAAAGGCACCTTGAAGAAGGAGAGAGAAGCGCACCAGAAGCTGCTGGCCGACAGCCATGGCCTGGTCATGGACCTACGCTGGCAGATCCATCACAACGAGAAGAACTGGAACCGGGAGAAAGTGGAGCTTCTCGATCGCCTGGACAGGAACCGGCAGGAGTGGGAGCAGCAGAGGAAGGAACTCCTGTGGAGGCTCGAGCAGGTACGGGGCCACCGCAGCCACCGGACGCGTGAGCGTCAGCACAGGACGTAGACTGTGACACGCTCCAGCCATCCGGAGCACCTAGAGAAAGAAAGCCAAACCCAGACAGCTGTGGTCCTTGCTGCCTCAGGATACTTCCTAGGCTCCAGAGGAACAAGGAAAGATGCTAGGCTTTTGCTTTTCCTACCATTACACAAATCTCTCCATTGTAGAGTTTATAAGGAACTTCCCTTTGCGTGATAAAGAGGAGGGAGAGGCAGATAACTTTTTTTTTTAAAAAGATGTTATTATTTATTTCTATTGGAAAGGCACATATACAGAGTAGGAGAGACAGAGAGGAAGATCTTCCGTCTGATGATTCACTCCCCAAGTGACCACAATGACTGTTGCTGCGCCGATTTGAAGCCGGGAGCCAGGAACTTCTTTCCAGGTCTCCCACGCAGGTGCAGGGTCCCAAGGCTTTGGGCCATCCTCAACTGCTTTCCCAGGCCACAAACAGGGAGCTGGATGGGAAGTGGGACCGCCATGATTAGAACTGGCGTCCATATGGGATCTTGGCGCATGCAAGGCGAGGACCTTATACATTATGCTATTGAGCCCGGCCTCAGATAACTTTTTAATAGCACTTTATAGATAAACTTGAAAAGGGAGGTTATTTCAGGTCTTACTCAGTGATTCCTGCCAAAAAGCAAACTTTTAAGTTTACCATTAGAGATGCAGTCACAGTGACTGCTCCAGTTTGAATGGAATTGTTCTCATTAGTAAATAAATTGCTGAATTAAGTTGAAAGTCAGGCTGTTTGCCGGTGATTGCACCTGCTGTGGGTATTGCTGAGCTGTGATCAGATAGGACCATGGTCCAGGGAGGTAGCTGGTAGCTCATCATCTTCAGCTGGACGAATGATTCAGAAACTCAGAAGAATTTAAGGGAGGAGAGAGTGCTGTTTTTCTTTCTCCCAGATAATCATTCCCTGCATTGCACCAGACTTACAACAGTTTGCACATTGGCAGTGGTTACTGAGTGACAACCAAGTTAAAATTTCACATTTAATTGAAAAAGCTTCGGACTTCCTCCCCAGCTGGATCGTTAAAGAATGTGCATTCTGTTTATTACAGCCTGTCACACTTAAAAAATTCATGGGGCCTCAAGAAGGTGTGTTAATCAATAAGAAACTGAGGGCAGGACGAATAATGCCATTACTCTATCACACAGACCTGTGCTGCCTGCATTTAGGTGGGAACCTTATGGAAAAATATGCCCTGTTAGCCACAACTGTGAAGGTACTTCAAAAATTCATGAAGAAGTGAATTTTCTCCTTATTGTGGTGCAAATTTTTTTTTAAAAAAATACGTGCACATTTTGCAGATGAGTGAATGGATTTTATAATTTTTCGAAGATTTATTTATTTGAAATACAGAGCAACCAAAAGAGAGGGAGAAAGAAGGAGAAATCTTTCATGTTCTGGTTCACTCCCCAAGTGGTTACAAGCAGCCAAGTCTGGGTCTGTCTGAAGCCAGAAGGCAGGAACTCCCTTTGTGTCTCCTTCATGGGGTGCAGGATCCTAGTTACTTGGGGTATCCTGTACTGCCCTCTCTGGTGTACTAGCAGCAAGGTAGATTAGAAACAGAGCACCCAGGATTCAAATCGGCTGGTTGTGGGTGGTGGGTGGCACAGGGTTAGATTTCAAAATTCTTTGTACCAAAATAACCTTATTTTTCCGATCAATTTTCACAAAATTTGTCAAGAACCCTGTCAGTCTGTCCGTGTTTTGCATACACAGGGACAAAATGGGCTTCAATGTAATGTTGGATAGGGAGGGAAGGGCAAGAATGAAGTGGTGACAATGACCAGTGGCCTTTGGAAGGAAGTCTACTGCAGATAGAAAGGTGCTGGGTTCTTCCTGGGTGTGGTCACTCGCGGAGTGAGTCACCTGGCCAATATTTGATATGGCTGCATTTCAAAATTCCCCGAATTCTGTCAAGAGGAAAGTTGGCCATTTCCTGTTTGACTTGGCAGCCAGGCCCTTGTAAATAGTCTTTCATTTTAAATTGTGTGCGTGTGTGTGTGTGTGTGTGTGTGTGTGTGTGTGTGTGTGTGTGTGTGTGTATGGTGTCTGTGCCCTATTACATGAGACAGTTGTTTGGTGAAAGTTTTGCACTAAAAGTAGGAAGTGTTTGTACAAAACCGGTCCTATCCGTCTTGAGTTGGCCCATGTCATGGTGCTCCTGGACACTTGTTGGCAGGGGGACTTCCTTCCTGGTTTTTACTGCAAGCTCACTTGTGGTATGCCCTCTCCTGGTGTGTCGCCATCTTCTGTGATCCCTGCCATGCCCATTTAGGCCCCTTGGCCTGTGAGCCATGGTGGCTTGCTGACCTTGTTATAAGCTGTAAGCAAAGCAGGGCTTTTAAGTTTCTGGTTTACTTTGGGGAATGAGGAGTTTCTAGTAAAGGAAAAATCAGTAAGACGTACCCAGTGAGAGTTAGATTGAAGTTGGCGACCTGGGGTGACTTAGCACCTCATTCTGAGACCCTGGAAAAGGTACAAGCTGAATTCTGGTAAGAACGAATAGTGTGGGCCAGCTGGGCAAGGACACTGTTTCTGCCAGGACAAGAGATGGGCTTAGTCAACCTGGGCCAAGGAACCACTGGTGCTTGTGAGATCTGCCGCTGGGAGAAGACCTGGTAGAGGAGCTTGGGAAACTCCCTTGTCAGGCTGCAGTCCCTGCCCAAGAGCTCAAGAACCAAGACAAGGAACAGCCCTGACTATGCCAGGTTACAGTACCCACCAGCATATTTGTGGGTCAGGTCTGGGGCTGGGCCAGGCTGGGCCAGTTTATAACATCCATTAGCAGATCTGAGAACCAAGGACAGAGTACCAGGTGGGCCAGGTTGGACTACAACATCTGCCAGTCCACATTAGGGCCAGGACTGGGAACTGGCTGGGCTAGGCTGCATCATTCACCAGCGGAAGCTGAAACTGGAAGCAGGCTGGACCGAGCCATGCTACCATACCCACCAGTGGATGCCGAGGTGAAATGAGTCATGCCAGTCTGAGCGCGGTGGGTGCCAGGTCTGTAAGCCCCAGGGGCAGGAGTTCTGGTGGGAACCCAGGTTGCCTGGCTTGGGTCCCTGGGCCCAAAGTGGGTGCCAGGTCCATAAACCCTGGGGGTATGGGGTCCGGCAGGGCCTGAGTCACCTAGCTCAGGCTCTTGAGCCCACCTGCACGGCATAAATAAATAAATAAGCTGAGCTCTGTCCAAATTGTCAGGATCACAACAGTTCTTCCAAACTGGCAGCTTCTGACCTTCAGATCTCAGGGTTTATTCCTTTGAGGAGCCTCTGCATCCACCTGTTCCTGCTCTGTGGGTTTGACCCCACCATTTTTGTACAATGAGTTCAGCACTGTCTAGAAGAGGAGTGGCCAACAATACACCTAGTAGTTAGCAACGAATCAGCACTGCATAAATGCAGCAGTGCCTTTCAAAAGCAAAGCTGGCCTTCCCCCAAAATACTCATCTTTTTAAAGAAAACTGTTGACGTTTTGATATCCAGTCCTAGAAATCAGGTCAAGCAATGACAGATATTCTCAAGAAGTTGGCTCCAGTGTGTGTGTGAGTGTGTGTGTAGATTTTGTTTATTGGTTACTGGGTTGCTTACTCCTTTAGTTTCGGCCTATACATTCCACAGATAACCAAGAGATGCAACTGAACATTCCTCACGGTGTACCCTCTCCATTTGACTCCCACATAACCTTGACAGATAACCCAATACAGATGGTGGAAGAAGTAGCACTAAATCCATTTTCCACTTTTCAGAACACGTGCTTCAGACTCGTTCACTGTCCTTAAATTCCTACATAATTTCTGCACTACAGGAGGCATTTGATGTGACGGATGACTGTGGGAGTGTGGCCGAGGTCATGTAACACACTCCATCGGCGTCTCTTGTTTCCATCCAAGTTGGATCGAGGGTTAGTTAACTCAGCTGGAGTCACACTACATTTCTTCTCAGGATAGTGAAGTTCCCAGTTAACATGTGGGTGGCGTAGCTTGCTGCTGTCCTCGCTGTACCTGCAGAGCTACAAGGAAAGCTCCTCTCTCATCTGCCCCCCTTGCCTCCCTTTCAGTACAGCTGCTTTTACAACACCAAGTGCCATTCTTTTATAACCTCGCTTACCAAGTATCCTTTTGTCTTTTGGCCCGCCTAAGTAAGGTGACACTCTGGAGGGTTTATTGTTTCCTGTGTTATTTGAAATGCAAACCTTTGAAATGTTCTATTTGCATTGGAAGTAGTTCTGCTGCGGGGAGTGCCAGTACAGTAGGAGCTGGCACCAGCCTGCTTCTGCAGGACCCATTCTTCCATGACCGCACCTCCAAGGCATCTGAGCCGCACAGCCCTCCAGCCACAACCACTCCAGTGCACTTTCAGGAAACCTGATACCCAGTGGCTTGCGTGCGACTTGCTGCTGGCTTCCTGAGCCTATTTTTGAAACCCCACTTCACTGAGTTAAAGCATGTGTGTTCATAGCTCTCCTCCTTAGTCATTGCCTTCCCCTCTTCACTCACACCCTTGGTGCACATTTGCAGCTTCGGATGTGATGTTTGCATCTTAATTCAGTGCCCAGAATAGCTTGGAGATGATCAGATGGTGCTGACATGGCTCAGAGGAGCAGAATCAAAAGTTTTCCTCCTTCGTTTCTTTTTATTAAAAGAATAGCAGTGAAGAGAACTGCGAAAGAGAGTGTTGTTATTGCCTGTGCGGTTTGCTTATTCCCTGATTTGACTGTGAATTTGCCTGTGTTGAAGTGCTGGCTGTGTGAGCCTTCCTCTTACCCTCCAAAGTGAAGCTGATGACTCTGCTGAGTGGAGGTCCCTTTGTCCCCGTTCCGTCCCTGACTGTCCTCCTGACATTGTGCTGGCCATGATCGCATCCAGCTGCATGGGAAGGTGCCAACTGGGCCACTAAGGTGCACTTCGAGCACATTCCATCGGCCTCCAGGCAGGGTCCCTCGGGAAGTCCTGGCAGCATCTCAGCCCCTGAGCATCTCTGTCTGGCCACGCCTTCTGGGTCCACCCTAAGAGGGACTTGCATCCTTCAGAGCATTTCTGACTGCGCGTGAGCAGCAGGTCCAGGAGTGTGTAAGCTCCTCATCCAATAAAGACCTCACTAAGCAGTCCTAGGGGGTGGTAGCTTCAGGTCTCAGTTGTCCCTATTCTGCATCCATGGATGGGGACTTGAGGAAGACTTGGAGAATGCAGGGAAAGTCCTTGGCCTGCCTGTCTCAGCAGTTTCCAGTGATTTAGTCATCTAAGGACCACAACCAGTGCCGCTACGGTGGAAGAGGAGGATGTGTGTGGGGGTTGCAGATTGCATGGCCTGTTACGCATAGCCCTGCGTTACAGGGGAGGAAACTGAACTGAGAACATACACCTGCCAGCCAATGAGTGCACTGATCAGTGGCTTCTGGCCAGGTGCTCCTGTGGGCCTGCTATTTCTTCAGCTTATCAGTCAGGCAAAAAAGAAAAAAAAGGGCCCAGCGCGTTGGTACAGTGGTTAGGGTCCTTGCCTTGCACGTGCTGGGATCCCATATGGGCGCCGGTTCTAATCCCAGCAGCCCCGCTTCCCATCCAGCTCCCTGCTTGTGGCCTGGGAAAGCAGTCGAGAATGGCCCAAAGCTTTGGGACCCTGCACCCGCGTGGGAGACCCGGAAGAGGCTCCTGGCTTCGGATCGGCTCAGCTCCAGCTGTTACAGCTGCCTGGGGAGTGAATCATCAGACGGAAGATCTTCCTCTATGTCTCTCCTCTCTGTATATCTGCCTTTCAAATAAAATAAATTAAAAAAAAAGATACTAGATAAAATACCCAAGTTTTCCTCCCTGATTCATACCACATCTTTCTTTACCTTGAAAGCTACTTTTTCTTTCTCCCCCAAAAGATTTATTTTTATTGAAAAGTCAGATTTACAGAGAGAAGAGAGACAAAGAAAAAAGATCTTCCTTCTGTTGGTTCACTCTCCAGAACTGAGCCAGTCTGAAACCAAGAGCCTCCTCCAGGTCTCCCACGCAGGTGCAGGGTCCTGAGGCTTTGGGTCGTCCTCCACTGCTTTCCAGGGCCACAGGCAGGCAGCTGGAAGGGAAGTGACTACTCCAAAATCAACTTTATCTTTTCACTTCTTCCCGACCCCACCAGCTTTGGGGACTATCGTGTATAGCAGGATTTGAGGCTGGCTGGGAACATCAGCATCAGCCACAGAAGTCCTTTGTCCTTGGTGGCATTCTGCTGATCGTGTCCTGAGTTGTAAAGGTAATTCCAGGAGAGGGTTCAAAATGTGTTGTTCAACGTTAGGATTATTTTTAAATGTGTCATTTCCCATGAGCACAGTGATTGATTTCAGGTAGGAGCATATTTGCATCAGAAAAAAAAATGGCTAATGCAGATTTTCTAGTATGAAACCTGGATTTCAAGTGGTCACACAGCTAGGGGTGAGCTGATTCGAAGCCAGGAGCTACTTCCTGGTCTCCCACGCAGGTGCAGGGTCCCAAGGCTTTGGCCTGTCCTCTACTGCTTTCCCAGGCCACAAGCAGGGAGCTGGATGGGAAGTGAAGCAGCTGAGATATGAACCAGCAACCATATGGAATTCCAGCACATGCAAGACAAGCATTTAGCTGCTAGGCTATTATACCAGACTCAAAAACTGGGTTTCTTTTTTAAAAACAAAAATGTTCACAAGGTGGTACTACATTTTGAAATGAAGGTCAAAAAATCTTTGTGAAGATTGATTTATTGGAAGAGCAAAGGTATAAATGGTGTATATGTGTGCATGTGGGAGTGAGAGAATGAATGATCTTCCATCTGTTTATTTGCTCCCCAAATGGCCACAATCATGGGCTGGGCCAGATCAAGAAACCAGGAGGCAGGAGCTTGTTCCTGGTCAACCCAAAATGGAGCAGCCAAGACTTGAACTAGTGTCCATATGGGACGCAGTTGTTGTAGGCAGGGGCTTAATGAGCTGTGCCACAGCACCACCCAAAGGTCAGAATTTTAAGAACTTTTTTTCTACAGTCTTTCCTATGGACCCATATTGGCATTCCAGATGATACAGGAAAGCTGCTGCTAGAAGACTGTGGGACCATAGAGAGCAAGACTAAAACCGTGTTCTTTTTTTAAACTCAAGTTGCAGAAAGAGCAGAGCCCCCGCCGAGCGGGCAGTCTCCTGTGTGACCCCAAGGAAGGCTCCGGCCGCTCTGCCCTGCCCCAGGGAGGCCTCCGCCTGCCTCGGCCCTTGTCCACATGGCCGTGCGTGGACACAGACTCCCTCCCGTTTGAAGACCGGCCACTGGTCAAGCTGAAGGAGTCAGACAGGTGCTCGGCCAGCGAGAACCTCTACCTGGATGCTTTGTCCCTGGACGACGAGCCTGACGAGCCTCCGCCTCACAGGCCCGAGAGAGACTTCAGGAGCGGCCTCCGCGAGGTCAGCCTAAGCTCTGGCCACCCGTGGGAGGGGGGCTGGCCCTGGGGGAGGGCACCCTGGCATGGGGGCATGGCTTTTGCATGTGGCAATGGCAAACCGGGTACCGGTGGCTTCTGTCATTTGCTTTAAAAATGATTCTAGAACCATCCATTGTCGGTTTTATGGTTACTGCACCTGCGGTTTGATTTCCAGACACTCTCGGTTTAACTTAGGAAAGTTCACATCAAATAGTATTGTTGAAATGCGATACAATCACACAGGTCAAATATATCATACCCAAACTGCTTGAGACCGGAAGTGCGTTGGATTCCGGACTGTTCTGATTTTAAGATATCTAGGGGGCAAGACCCAAGCGCAAACATGAAATGCATTTATATTTCATGGACTCCTATGTGAACAGCATGAAGGCAACTTTATACAATGCTTTTGTCATCCACATAGGCTTTTTCTTTTTAAGATTTATTTATTTTTATTGGAAAGGCAGATATACAGAGAGGAGGAGAGACAGAGAGGAAGATCTTCTATCCAATGGTTCCCTCCCCAAGTGGCCACACGGGCTGAAGCTGAGCCAATCCAAAGCCGGGAGCCAGGAGCCTCTTCCGGGTCTCCCACACAGGTGCAGGGGCCCAAGGCTTTGGGCCGTCCTCGACTGCTTTCCTAGGCCACAGGCAGGGAGCTGGATGGGAAGCGGGGCTGTCGGGATTAGAATCTGTGCCCATATGGGATCCTGGGCACGTGCAAGGCGAGGACCTTAACCACTACATTATCGTGCTGGGTCCATGCATAGACTTTTAATTATCCTTATTTATGTATCTAAAAAAAATTAAACTAGAAACACACCTGATTTTAGGAACATATTTTTTTTTATCTGTGCGTTGTTTTTTTTTTTTTTTTACTTTTTTCTACTTTAACTTTTAACGGGTTTTTAACAGTCTCGGTGTGATTTGTGAGCATTTCTGATTACATGGGAGCAGTCCCTTCTTCCCCACTCTCACCCTCCTTCCTTCCCTTTAACTCACTTTGTTTTGTTTTGTTTTTGAAATAACATTTACCTTACAATAAAAAGGTTTACTGTTTCACTGCATAGGAAGTTTAACAGTCAAAAGCAAGAAGACTAAACCTTAGTAGAAATAGACAAATAGACAAACAGAAATTGAATGAAAAAAAATGACCATTTCATCCATATAGAGTAAATGTTAAACTCATCACAGACCATTAAATCCACAGTAATATTAACATTCGTTATCATTGGTTTGACAGAGGTCTAAAACAAAGTTTTATAAAATATTTTTAACAATTTTGTGCATGAAACATAGTTTCGTAGTATGGAACTTTCCACTTCTGGTATCGTGTGGGTGTTCAAACACTGTTCCAATTTGACAATGTCCCAGCCTTCAAGCTTTCAGAGTACGGCGTGCTCAGCCTGCACAGCCATCACACGTCAGCCATCACACGTCAGCAAGGCGATGCTGAGCTGGGAGCAGCCTCTTATGGCCCTGTTTCACAGCAGGGCACCCTTTCCGAGTTCCAGCTGTGTGGGGGCTGGCCCATCATTTGCACCTGCAAAACCGTCTCAGCTGGAAAGGGCCTGCTTGCTGGGCCCCAGCATGAAGAAGTCATACTAACTTGTAAAGCAGGATTGAGACCCAGGGATGCTAGCATCCTAATCTACTCCTTTGTTCACCAGCTTCCTCTCTGTGCCGCACCCACCCACACGTGTTCACTCTCGGACTGGCTCAGGTTGTCACCAAAGCCAGCTTTGCAGTTCCTGTAACCGCTGAGGTCTTCCTCCCCAAGCAAGCATTTAGTCTCTTTCTTGGTCATGTGGGCACCTGCTGACTGCAGCAGCTCCCGACCCCTCATCCTGCTGTGGATCCTGCTTTGATGATGAGATTTCAAAGGCCGTGGGGGTAGCGCCCTCCTGAGCAACATCTCACTCCATATGTACGTTTGAACTGGTGCTTTGCTAGGCGAGCAGAGTGACATGTGCTTGCTCTCTGCCAAGGCTCTCCCAGGCAACCAAAATTAAGTAGTTCACCGAGTTCTTTCTCCTTTCCAGGAAGAAGACAACCACAAGGGAAACCTTCAAAGGTATGTGAGCTCGAGGAAAATAATGGATTTACTCCTGAAATACAAACCTCCGCTGCTGGCAGCCAATGTCTGGTTTCCCACTATCCTCCAAATGACTACACATGAGAACTCTGCAAAAAGCGTTGCTTTCTTGTTTATGCACTTCAGAAACAGGGCATTTCTGGTAATTCACAGCCAGGCTGGGCAGTGCTGTGTGCATACAGGAAGTGTCTTCTAGCAGGGCCTTCCTTTCCAATCCGAGTCGTGCTGCTTACCCCAAGGACCAGTGTCCGTCCAGTCGATTTTGTAAAGTTCGTGGAAACCTTCTCATTTAAAGTCTTATTTTTAAATGAAGACTTTAGTCCTTCTTGGCATGTCATGAGGCGTTTGATCTCCTATAGGTTTACAGTCCGCAGGAAGAGGGCTTATTAAAATCTTCCCTAGCAGCTGGCATTGTGCCAAAGTGGGTAAAGCCATTGTCTGCAACACCAGCATCCCATGTGGGCGCCGGTTTGAGTCCCAGCTGTTCCACTTCCGGTCCAGCTTCCTGCTAATGTGCTTGGTAATGCAGCAGACGGTGGCTCAAGACTTGGACTCCTGGACCCACGAAGGAGCCTTCCTTTCCCGCCTAAATACTGTAGCTTTTTCTTTTTCAAAATCTTCTGTGAATTTCCAAAAGTAACCTATGTCAGTAGTGGTGTTAACAATGTAAAAACATCCAAAGTGAACTGCCTCCGGCCTGCCTCCTTTGCTTCTTAGTTCTCACAGATATATTTCTTTTCTTTCTTTTTTTCTAAAGATATATTTATTTTTGTTGGAAAGTCAGATATACAGAGAGCTGGAGAGATAGAGAGGAAGATCTTCTGTCCGATGATTCACTCCCCAAGTGACCGCAACAGCCGGTGCTGTGCCGATCCAAAACCAGGAGCCAGGAACTTCCTCCAGGTCTCCCACACGGGTGCAGGGTCCCAAAGCTTTGGGCCATCCTCGACTGCTTTCCCAGGCCACAAGCAGGGAACTGGATGGGAAGTAGAGCTGCCAGGATTAGAACCAGTGACTATATGGGATTTCGACCCGTTCAAGGCGAGGACTTGAGCTGCTAGGCCACGTTGCCAGGCCCCTCACAGGTGTATTTCACCAGACCTGTTTCTGCATAGCTGCAGGCACCTGCCCCTGCCTCCTGGACCTCCTGGCTCTGCTAGCTGTGGCTCTGCAGACTTTGGCCATCACTGAGGCTGCTGGCTCTTCTCCCTCTATTCTGTCCTGTCCACCCATGCTCTAGTAGCACCGAGTCCTTGCTCACATGGGGGCCATGATGTGACTCTGACACCTGTTTCTCTGGGCCAAAATGAGAGTCAAATGAGCTGTAACTAGAGCAGCGCGGCAGGAGTCAGGGTATCAGCCACTGTCGTGCTCTTATGTCTCTGGCAGTGTCCTGAAGCCAAGTCACCTCTCAGCAGCGCCCGGGGTTGACCCAAAGCAAAATGAGGAAATTCCGCCTTGCCACAAAGTCCACCCTGCCACTTCCAGGTTGTTGTGATTCTGAGAACTTCAGCCAGATGGAAGGCCTGGTGGTGTCTCTATGGCCTTGCTCTAAACATCCCATGGTGGCTATAGGACTGGGACCTGCCCTGGGTGAAGGCAGCTGTCTGTGTGCCAGCAGGTGCTTGCCTGGTTCTGTGCCCTGGTGCCTGCTGTATATGGACTTGCCCCGAGCAGACCTCTGAAGGCACGACCAGCCCTTCATCACCAGTGGCTCCTGCAAGGGACAGTGGCCAAGTCCTCAAGCGGGACCCTATGACTGGGCTAGAACTGAAGGGGTATGCGTGACAGATGTGTTCATGTGACTTGTGAAGAAACTGGGTCTATGTCCACCTCCTCTCTGTGCCCATTCTGAGATGGAGGGATTCTTAGCCCCAGCATGGTGAGCATGCAGCCTCCTCTTTGACCATCCCTCCTTGGCTGTAGTGCGTGGACGCCGTGCGTGAACACACCAGCCACCCATGTAGGAGCAGACACATGTTCCCACTCAGAGGGTGGATGATCAAGGGATGGGACCGCAGCTGCTGTGTTGTGTCTCTCCCTCCTGGGGATCGTGAGGCCATGTTGGACAGGGTGCTCATCCCTGCAGCATAAACATCTATTGTGCTGCTTGCCCGGATGTGGGCACGGAGTAGGGGGTTGCCCACCAGTGAACCAATCCTAGGGGTTTAACTGTTTGAGGATTGTGATGCTCCTAAGATCTGGCCATAATGAGGTTCCAGGATAGTCCTGGACACCCACAGGGTCTGCTCGTGAACAGGGGGCACGAGGCAGCTGCAGAGTATGCTGGGAACTTAGGGGAGATGATGCCCCTTGGGTGGGAGGGGCAGGATGGGGGCTGTGGCATGCATGGCTCTCTGACATAAGCTTACCTCCTCTCTGCATGCTTCTCCAGAGCCGTGTCGGTGTCCTCCATGTCGGAGTTCCAGCGCCTCATGGATGTCTCCCCGTTCCTGCCCGAGAAGGGTCTGCCGCCTGCCAACAGTAAGGAGGACATCACCCCGCCCCTGTCTCCTGATGACCTGAAGTACATTGAGGAGTTCAACACTAAGAGCTGGGACTACACACCCCCCAGGGTTCCAGGCGGGACTGAAAGGCCCCCGGAAGCCTGGGCAGACAGGACCGAGGTGGGACGGGCAGGGCATGAAGCCAGCGCAGAGCCCTTAGCGGACTCGTCTTGGTACCTGACCACAAGCATCACCATGACCACGGACACCATGACCAGCCCCGAGCACTGCCAGAAGCAGCCGCTGCGCAGCCATGTCCTCGCCGAGCAGTCCGGGGTACGCGTGCTGCACAGCCCACCTGCCGTCCGCAGGCTGGATAGCATCATGCAGGGGGGCGGCGAGGGCAGGAGCCAGATGGACCCCGAGGGTCCCTTTCCCACCAGCAACCGAGCCAGAGGGAGCCTGGGTGATGCCAAGGGGGGCCCCCTGGAGCCCATGCTTGGACGTTGGCCTTGTGCTCCCTGCAAACACCCCCGAGACTACAGCCCCCTTGAGAGCCCCCTGTGCGGCCCCCTGGGCTTTGCCTCACCATTGCACAGCCTGGAGATGTCCAAGAACATGAGTGATGACATGAAGGAGGTGGCCTTCTCTGTCAGGAACGCCATCTGCTCCAGCCCTGTTGAGCCTCAAGTCAGGGACACAGCCTGCCAGACCAACGGGTCCCGGACCATGGGCACACAGACCGTCCAGACCATCAGTGTGGGTCTGCAGACTGATGCCCTGAGGGGCGGCGGTGTCACCAGCAGCCCCCATAAGTGTCTCACGCCAAAGACTGGGGGCGGCACCACACCAGTGTCGTCTCCTTCCCGCAGCCTTAGGAGCAGGCAGGTAGCTCCGGCCATCGAGAAGGTGCAGGCCAAGTTTGAACGCACATGCTGCTCCCCCAAGTATGGGTCTCCAAAGCTGCAGCGGAAGCCCTTGCCCAAAGCCGACCCACCCAACAGCAGGACCTCACCGGGCTTGGTCCAGAAAGGGTACAGCGAGTCAGCCTGGGCTCGCTCCACCACCACGAGGGAGAGCCCTGTGCACACCACCATCAACGACGGCCTCTCCAGCCTCTTCAACATCATTGACCACAGCCCCGTGGTGCAGGACCCCTTCCAGAAGGGGGCACGGGCTGGTTCTCGGTCCCGTTCGGCGGAACCCCGAACAGAGCTGGGCCCAGGCCAGGAGACAGGCACCAATTCCCGAGGAAGGTCCCCCAGTCCCCTCGGGGTGGGCACAGAGACCTGCAGGGAGGAAGGGGGAGAGGGCACGCCGGTGAGGCAGGACTTATCTGCTCCCCCTGGCTACACGCTCGCCGAGAACGTGGCCCGGATCCTCAACAGGAAGCTGATGGAGCATGCCTTAAGAGAGGAGGGGAGGCAGCCCAGCCGTGGCCCCCCAAGTCTCAGGGACAGCCACGCAGGAGACGCAGCCGAGCCAGGGCCCATGGAGGTAAATGGCACCCGACCCTACCAACTCTTGTGTTTAGGGGTGGGCATGTGTGGGCACCTGGCTGGGCACTTTGATCGCAAGAAGCATCTCGAGTTGTGGTGAGCCTGGGGTGGTATGGGGACAGGGTTGTCTTGATGGGAGGATGGATTAGGCAAGACCACAGACCCTGGGCACCGCAGAAGTCATCAAGGACAAGATTGGATTTGGGTTCTGGCCTCTGGCCCCAGTGTTGGATCCATATCTGTCTGACTAGGATTTGCACGGTGGGTCATGATTTCCGTGTGTGAGCTGTGCATGTGTGCATGCCTGGTGGGGCTTTGGCGAGCTGCAGATGTAAGTGTGTGCAGCTTAGGAGGCTGAGGAGTGCAGGGACAGGAGCTGAGTACCCATGGGGAGCTGGATCCCAGCCGGCCTCTGCAAAGCAGTGACCCCACATCCTGGGAATCGCTTCCCCTCTCTGTGTGGGTGAATCACCGTAACAGTAAACCCAGGGGAAGCAAGTGGGTAAGCTCAAAACCCTGCCTCTGCACAGGAGGAGGATCCGCCCTGACATTACTCACAAATCAGTCAGCCTTCAACTCTTTTCCAGGACACAACCCCTCCCCACTGGGTACACTTCCCAGCATGCCCCTTTAGCAAACACAGCTCCGATCTCGACCGCTGCAATGAACAAACGAAAAAGTTTGCTGAGCAGGCTGCTGGCGACAGCAGTGAGGGGCCGGTTCCTTGCTCTCTGCACCCCAGAACAAGGGTGTCTGCCCCACCAGTGCGTCTTCTCACCATCTGGAACACCAACAGCCAATACACAGTCTCCAGGCCTGCCCCTCCAGAGGGTCTGAGAAGGGGATGGGGAGCAGTGCTTGCTGCTGCCACTGCCCAGGCAGCCCTGGCCCCAGGACGAGGGGAGGAAGAGGGAGTATGTCTCAAGTTAGAGGACCCACATTTCACAGGGAGAGAAATGTCAGAGTGGTTGGAGGTCCAGTGTGACACACCGAGGAGTATGTTAACCTAGAATACAGGGCTTCAATCTGAAATGTCGAACCAAGTGTAGTTACCAGTGACATGTGGAAATAGACATTCCAGATGGTTCAAGCCAACGCATGTGTCCTGGTAGCACATAGCCTACCTGTCTCAAAGATGTGTGGGAAAAGTGTTGACATGCTTCAAGGTGGGAGGACACTGCTGGCTGGTTGTTCCCAGGCACCCAGTGGTGTCGCCCCCATCCCTTGGGGCCCCTCAGCCAAGTCCTCACTGTTGGGGTGTGGCTATGGGTGTCAGACAAGATCAGCTGGAGTGAGGGCTCAGTGCCACAGCATGAGCTGCACCTGCCTGCAGTGTCCAGTCAGGTCGGCTCCCTGTAACCTCGAGTTCCACATCCCCTGATCTAACCACCTGCAGAATGAAAATACCAGAAGCAAAATGGAGTCAGTACTGAATGAGCACACACAAGTTTTTCTTGCTGTTCTCCCCTAACTAGGTCCCCTGAGCAGTGTTCCCACCTGTTGATGTAACCATCAAACCGGATACTACAAGTCATCTAGAGATGATTTAAAATGTGCAGGAAGATGAGCACAGGTTCTATAAAAATTCGACATCATTTTATATGAGGGATGTAAGCATCTCCAAAATTTGTTATTTTTTTTTTTAAGATGTGCTTATTCTGTTTAAGAGAGAGAAAGACATCTTCCATCCATGGATTGACTCCACATGCCCGCAGTGACCAGGACTGAGCCAAGTGGAGGATGACGGCCAGCGACTCCACCTGGTCTCCTCTGTACATGGCAGGGGTCCAAGCATTCAGGGCACCATTCACTGCCCTCCCTGGCACATTTGTGGGAAGCTGGGTTGGCAGAGTGGCCGTGATTTGAACCAACACTACAGCATATGATGTCAGTGTTATAAGTAGTAGCTTAACCCACTGTGCTACAATGCAGGGTTTTGGATCTGCAGGGGGATTCAATAGATGAATAATCTAAAACCTTTTCTTTCTTTCTTTTTTTTTTTTTACTTATTTATTTGAAAGAGAAGAAAATGGAGTAAGGGGGTGGGGGAGATCTTCGATTGTTAGTTTGCTCTCAAATGGCTGTAACGGCCAGAGTTGGTCCAGGCTGACACAAGGAGCCTGGAACTCCATCCAGGTCTCTCCTGTGGGAGAAGGGACCTAACTACTTAGGCCATCTTCCACTGGCTCCCCAGGAGCTCTAGCAGTGAGTCTGATCAGAAATGATGAGCTGGAACTCAAATCAGTGTTTACGTAGGGGATGCCAGTACTTCGAGCAGTGGCTTCATGCGCTGCCCTGCAACATCAGCTGTGACATTATGAAGAAAAGGGCTGACTGTTGGAATGACACAGCATGACATGGGAACACTTCTATCTGAACAAAGCTCCGCTCTGCCGATGGTGTGCTTGTGACCAAAGGGAGGGTTTGGAAGTAGTGCAGACCATTTGAGAGACCTAGTCCCTGCACCAAGCATTTCCTGTATCTCGATGCCATGGGCCCTTTGTTCCTCTTCTGTTGGGACTTTGGTTGTTCTGGATTCCAGTGGAATTGTTCCTTCTTTGGACTGGGCTAATCTGTTAGGACTTTGGGAGACCCTTCCTGTCTAGTTATGTCACAGTTCTAGATTTTCTTTCCCACGCCACCAGAGCCACACCTGACATGGAGCAGCAGCCTGCTGTGGAATCATTCCCCGATCGTTCCCTCAGATTCCCAGCCCAGCATGACGTGGACACTGGGAACAGCCCCCTTCTCACGTCACTCTCCCTGAAAAAGCCACATAGGCCTTCCTTTGTTCTGATGCTCCAGCTCAGTGGAAGAGGGCAGGGGTGAACAGAACAATCTGGAAACGGAACACTCTTCCCTCCTGTATCTAGGTAGAAAATGGGAGGGGGTTTTTCAGGACAAGCAGCAGGAGCTTTTGATCATGGCAACCCAAACAGGCCAGCCTGTGGCATAGTCTCTATCAGGTATTTCGACCTGTTTGCCGAACGCTGAGTGATAGATCCGAGGCGTGAGGGTGGCCCCAGGAAGTCTGCAATCCGAAAGGCCACACCCATGCTGTGTGGCAGGCCTGTGCGCTGGGGTTCCAAGGTCCCCTCAGGTCTCTGCTGGTGGCCGCCTGGGGTGGGAGTGATGACTCCCCCGCCTCCTCGCCCTCTGGCCTGAAACCTTTGCTGTTCTGTGTAAAAGATTTCCAACCCACTTGCTTTTCTTTTTCTCTGTGCTGTCCAGAACCAAACTGTCTTACTAACTGCCCCGTGGGGACTCTAGCCCTGCCTGCCTCACGCTGTAAGTCTACCTTCCCATTGCTCATCATCCACCATATGGAGAAGTTGCATTGCATAGCTCATGGGCACATTTCACATCCGTCACCGGAGGGTACCCACTGGGGCCCTGGGGCCCTAATCTGACCCCATTGGAGGGCTGACCACTTGTTGTTCAGTGAGGTTTGTAGATTCTAGAGATCTTGTCCAGAGTTCCCCAACCTGGCTTCTCTGGCCTGTGTGTGCTGGCGTGTTGCCAGGGGAAAGTCCATGGCCTGGGACTCATGAGCACACGGCATTTCCTTCTTCACGTGCAGTTGCTGGTGAAGTGCTGCCGACTGCTCCCCTGAAGAGCTCGCGCTTGCCCGCGCATTGGCCACGTGGAAGCAGTGGCTAACTGAAGCACCGACAAGCAGTTTTGCTTACACAGAGCGTGCACAGCACACACTGCTTGCACACACAGAACTAGCACATCTCCTGTGTTTGTATCTGGCTGGTGTTATGTGCCTCGGGGGAGGTGCCATCTGGCCACCACCATGGTGCCCATTAGCCTTGAACTTCCTTTCCTGTGAATCTCCTGGTGGGGCAGGGACAGCATGAGCTCCTCAACCCCATCACTCCACTGCTCCCTCAGAAGTTGGGGGTCCTAAGCTGTGCTGTCTCCACCAGCCACCATCTTGCATCCTCCGCCCTGTTCGTATCCACTCTCTGGAGCAACCCTGCCCATCGGACATCACCATGTTGTCTCCTTCCACCACTGCGATGACTTAATTACCTCTCACCCTGGTCTGTTCGCTGGTTCGTCCATTGCATCTTTCCTTTGGGGTCCTCTTGTGCCATCCATCCAGGCCTGGTTCACAGCCTCGGCTTTGTGTCCAGTGTCACTTGGGTGGGCCCGGCGCTGTGTTTCTCACTCAGCATCCTCATCTCCATTTCGGTGCCTCAGGGAATTCCATGGGTGGGCATCATCGCGGCCTCACATGAAGACTGAGGGCCAGTCATGCAGCATTCTTTGAAAGCAAAAAGAGAAGAAAACATCCCTTCTGTCCAAGTGTTGTGAGGTATCTGTGTTTTCTCTCCTCAGCACAGAATGGCAGGTGTTTCCCCCATCCTGCTCTGTGCAAATGCTGCCACAGGCAAGAGCCACTCAAGAAAACTAGACCTCAATTAGGATTCCTGCCAGCAGCATGCTTCTTCCTGTGTCGTGGGAGTTTGTGTAACCCACTGCCTGTCAATGGGAAATAAACAGTCAACAAATCCACTAACTGATCCAGCTGGATGGAATCGCAGGGCATCCACTGGCTCACTGCAGCCAGACAGACGATTCCAGAAGGCCAGTGACGGGGTGGGAAGCCAAGGAAGAGGCCACAGTCACTTCCCCCTGTCTTTATGTTCCCACCAAATCTGGGAGGAGCTCTGTACACACACCTGTCTCACCGTGTTGCCAAACACTGACCATTGATTCGGTGCCTTCACCTTCATGTCACGCATCATTCTTGAGGAATTCTTTATCACTCATCTTAAGTTGTTCTCCATAAACAACCTAGCCACTCCCATTCTCAAGTCACCCACTGCCCCCTTTGGGTCTGGTGAAGTGTCCTGGGGGTTGGGGAGGGCTGCTGGCCCAAGTAACCCTCTCTTTTCTTGACCCTCCTCAAGGAACTGCCTTGTTCTGCACTAGCTCCATCCCTAGAGCCCTGCTTCTCCAGACCCGAGAGACCAGCAAACCGTCGCCCTCCATCCCGGTGGGCCCCACCGTCCCCCACTGCCTCGCAGTCTCAGTCCCCTGGAGACACGACATCCTTGGAGGAGCATGGTGATGAAGAGGTGCCCGAGGAGAAGCCGCGCCGTGATGCAAGCTTGCATGGATTATCACAGAATAATTCATCGTGATTTGCATAGTCACACCATCGTCATGAACCAACCTCAGCCCCAAAAGAGAGATCTGGGTTTTCTCAAAGTCAAAGAATGTTATTTAAAACAACACAACAAGACTCACAGCTGCTGAATGTTCAGTCTGTGAAACTGAGATGTTTCTAGAATGAAACAGTAAATGTGCCTGTAATAACTTAATTTTTTTCATAGCTCAGAAGACTATTTTTGTCTCCATCTTTTTTTACACTCAATATATTAAATGAAAAGAAGTAACTAAGGTATACATAGATTTAAAAAATAAAAGTTTTAAAAAATGTACATTTTAAGAGATTCTGAACACCATTGCTCTCAGTACTGACTGCCTCTCTGTTAGATTTGCACTGTTACATTTTGCTTGAGTGTATTATTCATGTTGACTGAGCGTGGTGTAGGTTCGTTTTGTCAGTGTTACTATTTTTTAAGAATTTTTTTTTAATGCTTCAAACTGTCTGATTCCGTGAACATTTTGTAGTGAAAAAGCCAAGAAGCCAGTAGACCCAACAGGTGGTCCACAGACTGGAGGAGAAGCTGTCTGACAAGCCGCCAGGGCTCAGACGGGCCTCCAGACCTCACTGGCTGTGTAAGCCACCCTTTCTTCCCCTCCATCACCTGCCCCGGCCTGCACGCATAGATTCAGGTGCATGTTTACCCTGCGCTGTGTCCCCACTCTCACCTCTGTGTGTGTATGTGTGTGTGTGTGTGTGTCACACCATTATCCTCTGTGACTGTCCCTGTCCATCCTCTGACACCTTTGTAAACTGTTGTTAACCAATTAGCTGACTGTGTATGGAGCGTACTCAAAAGAAGTATTTTGTTAAGGGAAATCCCCACCAAACGGTTCCAGGATGCCTAAGTGGGAAGCACACGACAGTGCCTCCATGCCCGTCTGAGGCCACCATGAAGCAGAACAATAAAGCCTTTTGCCAGCCTGCAGCGTGTTCTGGGCTCTCGGGCGTCCCATGCTCTCCGCTTCTCTCCCCAAGGACGGCTGCGGATATCGGAGCTGCGGGCACACGGGAAGTGGATTGGGGCAAAGGCGGCAGCTGCTGGGGTCGGGCAGGGCACGCGCCCAAGCTCAGGGTCAGGTGGCAGTTTTGTGACTCTTTACTAAATCCTGGGACAAGGAAGGAAACTTCACTCTTGTTGGAAAAAAAGCAAAAGCGTGCGTGCACACACACAATGAGGTATGGCCTGAGTGCAAGAAAACTGGTTCTCAACAAATCCAGTGTGCCTGGTCAGGAAGGAGGAAGGGGCTGGTGGAGGAAGCCACCTCCCCCAGCCGTCAGGGTGCAGACGCGTGTCAATGAGTGAGATAGTGGGACTGACCAAAAAATGGTGCCGCCCCCCCCCCCCCAAGAAAGTGCACAACGTGGACTATTTCAAACTTTTAACACTAATGTGTTGCTGGCCCAATAGTCTTAGAGACAACCTCATAGATTAAGTTGCATTGCTAGTATTACCTCCAGTCCATTTAAAAACTTACATATTTTTAGGAAAAAAAAAAGAGCGAGAAAGCGGAAAGTGTTGGTGAGGACTCGGAGCGGTCAGAGCATTGGTGCGCCATCGGTGGGGAAGTGACTGAAGCAGCTGCTGTGGGGGACAGCATGGCCACTCCTCAACAAACGGGTCACCACAGCAGCCGGCGATTCCACTCCAGGTCTGTGCTCCCAAGAACTGCAAGCCAGGGGCTCAGATGTGTAGTAAAATGGGCTGTCCTGCACCATTAAAATGCAAGAATGCACACATTTGTACCATCGACTTTGAACACATTACATGAGATAAACCAGTCACAAAAAGACAGTTATTGGCTGACTTGTGGATCAGATGCCCAGAACTGTACAATTCATAAACACAGAAATTAACATGACAGTTGGCAGGGATGAGGAGGGGATGGGGTGTGGGTGTAGCGTTTCTGTTTGGGATAGTGAGAAAATTTTGGAAATGGGGTGAATATATGCTTATTGGCACTGCGCTTTATATAAGGTGGTTGCAATGGCAGGCTTTGTGTACATCTTACCACAACAGAAACTTTGCATGTAAAAAAATAGGTGTTTTCATGGAACTGCCCAGATGTAACTGATCAGACAATCAGTAATGGTGACCTTGGTCCCATGGTAAATGCCAAAGGACTGTCCGTTGGAGTCGACAACACCGAGAGAAGTGGCTGTGCTCACAGTAAAAAAATATGCTGCTCCTACAGGACCCACTCAGCTCCACATCCCGGCCCTGCCCTCCCCTGCAGGATTCATTCCCACGCAATTCTGCCAAGAGTGGGCAGGAGGCAGCTTCCAAGGAAAAGTGCTTCTTACCAGGAGCTCCAGCATAGCTTGGAACTTTGGTCCCAATGAGGTCATGTGGCAGGCCCTGACAGATTGGCCTGGCAAAGGTGCTGGGAGAGGAGAGAGGGCATACGGGGAGTCCTGAGAGCTACACACCCATGTGACACACAGCAAGGAGCAGCTCTGGCTCATAGTGAGTTTGCTATCTGATTCCAGGCCCCAAAGAATGAGTGACCAAGTGGAGGGGCAGAGATCCTAAGCGCAGCAAGGATTACACTGGGCCTGGAGGGGACAAGCAGCACTTCAGCGTCAGGGAGGGAGAAGTGGGGGAAAGGTTCTGAGTGCGGGTCACTTCAGGCAGCACCAACCGTGAAAGCATTTTCTTGCATGAGCAAAGCCAGTGCCTTGAAAGCTGGGCTGGAGCCGCTCCTGCCAACTCATTTGCTAGGGGCTGGGCATGTGTGTTCTCCTGCCTGTTGTGGGGCCCCTGCGGCTTTCAAAGGCAGGGCAGGGCAGTGACATGTGCGCCCAGGCAGCTCCATGGGGCACGCACAGAGAGAGCAGCTGCCTGTGGGAATTCACATCTCCCTGGGCACCATGAGGGCGCCAGTTGCTTTGATAGCCCAGTGACAGCTGCTCACATGCCAGGCGTGCCTGGTGCCCTGAGAGTTCAACATGGAGCTTGACAGTGGCACTGGCTGTGGTTCGCATTCTGTTTTTTATCTCCTTACCAAGAATCTTCAAACAGACATATATTTAAAAAGAAAACAATGCATGAGTTTCAATTTTTTTGCACCAAAAGCAGTTTTGTTTTGGTCCATGCTCCCACCAATTTTGTAAAATTTCCCTCATATTTTAAAATCATCAATGTTCTATATTCCTTTTTAATCTAATGCATTCCCTTCATCTCTTTTTGGTAGGATGATCTTTGTCATATTTACCCATACCTAATTTTATTTTTGTGAATTTATTCGGGTTGTATGTATTAAAGGTGTATGATGTCACTGGCATGCCGTGAAATAGTTGCGTAGTCAAGCACATTAACATATGCATCATCTCACAGAATCGCACCCCATTTATCCGTGCTACTTTGTTAGCACAACCCAAACACAATACAGTGATAACCACAGTCCTGACGTCATTCATGAATTTCTAGCTGGAGTGAGTTTGACACTGGTGCATCTCCATTTTGTTCGGAAAGCAACTCAAAAGTACAGCAACCGTTTGCTAGTTCCTCATGTATTGACTCACTTAAAACTGTAAAGCACATTCAAAATTTGCCATGTTAGCCATGTCAAAGTGTACAAATTCAGTACTTTTAGCAGCGTTTAATACATTCACCATGTTGTGCAGCCCCTACTCAGAACTGGAACATTGTCCTCAACCTAAAAGAAGCCCCACAGGAACCAAAGAGCACTCGCTCATCTACCTTCTGGTTCTCCACAGCCTAGTCGGGATATTTCATAAGGGTAAACACACACCACGTGGCTTTTGGGGTCTGACTTTCTTTACTTAGCATTAAGTTTTTCAAATGCATCCAGATCATAGCATGCCTTAGTGTTACAGAGGTGATCCCTGGCTAGGCTCGATCCAGGTTCTTGTCTCCACACAAGAAAGAATTCCAGGGCCCGGCGCTGTGGCGCAGTGGTTAAGGTCCTCGCCTTGCACGCCCGGGATCCCATATGGGCGCCGGTTCTATCCTGGACGGAAGATCTTCCTCTCTGTCTCTCCTCTCTGTATATCCGTCTTCCCAATAAAAATAAAATAAAATCTTAAAAAAAAAAAAAAGAATTCCAGAAGAGACACAGACAGCAGTGACTTGGAAAGCAACATTTACCTATAGCCAAAGTGCAAACTCAAGAATAAGTAGGGGCAAGCTCCAGAGAGAACAGCTGATGCTGTCAGTAAGGTTCAGCCTTTTTTTTTTTTTTGTACGGTTTGGAGGCATGGGGTGGTCTCTGAGACAGTGCTCAGTAGAATATTCCAGCAAAGTGGGGCTTGGAGCTGGGCTTGAGTAGCACGCATGTATATGCCCTTTTTGGGGAATCTTGGCATCAGGTGCACATGGGAGTGGGATTTGTCAGCTTTGAGTAATTTCATTCTGACAACCATGCAGGCTGCAGCCATATTGGGTATCTCCAGTGTCACTTCTACTCAGGGGAGTGCCACTCAGCGGCTGAGTCCTACATGGGAGGGGCTGGGGATTGGGTGACATGCATGAGGCAGGGGCACCCGTGAGGCTGCTATGCTTGTGCCAGCCCACTTTGGCTGCTCTGGGCTAGTCACTTCCCTTCCCACATCGTGAATGCTCCACTCCCTTCTGTGGCCAGTAGTACTCCGCCCAAAGGTATAAGAGGTGTGGCTCACCAGGTGATGTTTTGTGTCTACTAAAGAAAACCTCTGGCACTCACTCTGCTTTTCTTTTCTTTTTTTTTTTTTATTTATTTTTATTATTTTTTTTATTGGAAAGGCAGATATACAGAGAGGAGAGACAGAGAGGAAGATCTTCCGTCCGATGATTCACTCCCCAAGTGAGCGCAACGGGCCGATACTATGCCGATCCGAAGCCAGGAGCCTCTTCCAGTTCTTCCATGCGGGTGCAGGGTCCCAAAGCTTTGGGCTGTCCTCGACTGCTTTCCCAGGCCACAGGCAGGGAGCTGGAAGGGAAGCGGGGCTGCCGGGATTAGAACCGGCGCCCATATGGGATCCCGGGCGTGCAAGGCGAGGACCTTTAACCACTTGCGCCACCGCGCTGGGCCCCACTCTGCTTTTCTAAACAAAGAAAAACTCTGGCACTACCTTAGCCCTGGGTATCCTCCTCCAACCTTGCAGAGACCCAGGTCACAATGAGTAACTTGGACGTTGATCTGGCAACCTACGGTGACTGTGGCACATTGGTGCCTTTACTCTTCCTCTGGAGGCCACCAGTAGATGCTGTACTTGCCATGTTCTATGATTGCATCAAGGTCTTTGAACATCAGAAAGTAGGGTGCAAACCCAATGGCATGTATGAGAACTGGATCTGGGAGTGGATTAAGTGAAAGAACTTG